TCAAATTGAGTCTTGCGATTGATCTATTGAGAATTCAGTTTTATGTACAACAATAAAAAGTTATATTATTAGCACCACAATAATATGTTTTTAAAAAATATAAATTTATGGGTTAAGTACATACAGTAATTTAAAACACACAATACAGTTATCATGAGGATGCAATTAAAATTAGATTGTATCGGATTAATATTATTTATTTCAAAAATGAAAATTAAGAATGTTAACCTCATCCAAATAAAGCTTAGATTATTTTAAATTACGTACTTATGGCAATAAATTTGTATTTCTAAAAAGCATATAACAATGGTGTGAAAACAACTTTTTATATAAAGTTCGGGGTATATGTATTACATATGCAAGTTTGGGTTATTTATTTCACACCTTTTCAAAGTTTGGGGTATTTACATTATTTTCCCCTTTGTTGGAAGAAGTTTCTCTTTTTTTTGGCTTGTATTTTCAGGTAAGTTGTTGAACAGTGTTGGTGCAGCTTGTGCTTTTCTGCACGTGACTTTCAATATACTTCCTCCGTTCTCTTTTAAATGTAACATTGAACTTTTTACACTATTCACATGTTCTACTTTGATTCTGTTTTATTTATTAATGTATTATAAATTAAATTTAAAAAAATTGTTAAACTCCTCTCATTTTAAAGTTTCAAAATCTATTTTTTTAATTTTTTTTTACTAATAAAGTATGAAAGATATTAATGATCAAACTTGTGTGTTGGCAAATGTGAAAAGTGGACCGTTGCGTTTAAAAAAGAACGAAGCAAGTATTAGAGTATTAGACCCTAATAAATATTTGACTACTTTTTCAAGAAAAACATTTTTGTCTTTGTTATGTGTGTTTTCATATAACAACACGGATGCATGCTACTATTTGATGTGAACCTTACGTCTATTGTGGTTATTATAGTCATTTTGGCTTTGGCTGCTTTATTCCCCCACATAATTTAGCCTACAAATACGTTATTGATTAAGATTCTTTATGAATACATAACAAACTATGTATTCAGATATTGTATTCATATTACTCTTATTGACTCAAACTAAATCGAGAAATTAATATCATTACAATAACCTTGGGCATTATCACGAACGCGCAACGCGCGTTACTTAACTAGTATTTTTAATAAAATCTAGCGGGTTTAAAAAAAGTAAAGAAATTAGAATTTAATATTGCACCTATGACGACATTCTTAGTTCTTACTTTGAAATAGAAATTCACATCACATATTTTAAAATCTTTTTGAGTGTAAGCAGTCCAAAGTTGATTATTTCGTGTAAACCTTAGACCCTAAAAATATAATCATAAAAATGGGATGCAATTTCAAAGTAATAAAGTTCTTTTGGAATTCGTGTAAAAAAAAGTTCTTTTTGAATTTCAAAGTTCATCTTTTCACTTCGTTCCAATACAAAATTATATTTTATTTTATTTATAGAATTATAGAAAGTACTAGGTAGTTCAAACTTAGTACGGAGTATAAGTTCAAGAGATTTTGACTTTGCACCAGAATTTGATTTGCACCCCATGTTTTAATTGATATTTGACTTTACACTATTTTGAAAATTATTAAAATTGTGAAGTGCAAAATCAAATGATTTTATAGTGATTTGGGATGCATAATTTCACGATGATTTGTTTATAGGGTGCAAAGTCAAATACCAGCCAAAACATGGAGCGTAAATCAAATTCGTTGGTGTTAACTAGTTTTCAATCCATCACAGATTCACAAATACTTCGGGGAAAAATGCTAACATGATCGAATCGAAACTAAAGACTACAAATTCATTCTTTTTTAAATTTTAACACCCGAAAAAACTGCAAAGCATTTTAGCTAGTTCATTTGGAGTTGTTCCGGATGGATCAGATGGTTTTATCTAAAGAATTACAGATAGATTAGGTTTTGCTGGATTAAAAAGGGAAGGGTCGGATCACAAATGGATCATTTGTAATCCTTCCAATGTAGTCAAAATAAAGTGGATTCTATACATACATATGCCACTAGAAGTTTTTTTTTTTCATTTTGGAGTAATTTGAACTCCGCCATGATATCATTTTTTTGGTATCATGCTTGTCCCAAGTCAGGATAAAGGAGGAGGGTGCTGTGGTAGGCGTGTGACGGCCAACAGTATCATCTAGTCACATCACATGACATGAATCGAAATATGAAAATCGCTAATGTTAGGTCGTCACCCGTAAGTGACGCGTCATCCCTCCGCCTGGGGGTGGTGTCAAATATGCAAGGGCGCGCTACACTTGATAGACCTGAGTGTGGTGATAAGAATGCTAAGGTTGCTAGGTTGCCGCCCAGAAGCGGCGCGTCATCCCATTGCCCGGGGATGATGTCAAATATGCAAGGGCATGGTGGGGTCCGAGATGGGGCTAAGAACAGAAGGTGGAATGCTAGATTGCGTTTTGGGACATGGAATGTTGGGTCTCTTACAGGGAAATCTTCTGAGGTAGTCGAGGTTATGAGCAGAAGGAATATCAGCATTATGTGTGTGCAAGAAACTAAATGGGTTGGACAGAAAGCACGCGAGATTAATCCCGGAGGTTTTAAGTTGTGGTATTCGGGGAGAGATAAGACTAGAAATGGGGTAGGCATTATTGTGGCGCGTGACTATGTTGAGGATGTGGTAGAAGTCTTCAGGAAGAACGATCGCATCATGAGCATTAAATTGGTGATAAGAGGTGAGATTGTGTCTGTGGTAAGTGCCTATGCACCACAAGTGGGATTGGATGCATCTACAACTCAACAGTTCTGGGAAGATCTTGAAGACGTGGTGCGACGAGTGCCAAGGGGAGAGAAGTTGATCATAGGAGGTGACCTCAACGGGCATGTGGGCTCGAGTCGTGATGGCTTTGAGAATATTCATGGCGGACATGGTTTTGGCACTAGGAATGAGGTGGGAAAGAACATTTTGGATTTTGCCTTGACGTATGAGTTGGCTATAATGAACACTTGGTTTAAGAAAAGAGACTATCACCTTGTAACCTATAAAAGTGGAGCTAATAGTACCCAAATTGACTACTTCTTAGTACGGACCACTGGGAGAACTAGCTACACTGATTGTGAGGTTATTCCAGGTGAGAGTGTTGTCACTCAGCATAGGATGCTTGTGCTTGACTTTCGAGGTAAGAACCATAGAAGACAAGTTAAACAACAAGTGGAGCCAAAGATAAAGTGGTGGAGGCTAGAGGGAGATCTTCAACAAAGCTTTACACACAAAATGGTCGGTGAAGATGTATGGCGTATTGATAATGAAACACAGGTGGATGAGGTGTGGTTATCAATGGAGTTGACCATTAACAAAGTGGCAAAGGAGGTACTTGGAGAATCTAAAGGATGTCGACCACCTAAAAAGGACACATCTTGGTGGAATGATGAGGTGAAACAAGCCATAAGGAACAAAAGAGATTGCTACAAAAAGTTGGGGACAAATTGGAGTGATGAGAACATAGAAGCATACAGGGAGGCTAAAAGACAAGCAAAGAAAGCCGTAAGGGAAGCACGAGGGAAAGTGAACAAGGAGTTGTATGAAAAGTTGGACTCTAAGGAAGGAGAACTAGATATTTATAGACTTGCTCGTCTTCGTGATCGCAGAACTCAAGATATTGCAAAAGTTAAGTGTGTGAAAGATGTTGATCAGAGGATATTAATGGACGACGGAGAGATAAAAGAGAGGTGGAGGTCATACTTTGATACACTATTCAACGGGAACAAAACGCAAGATATCGGCGATTTGTCCATACCAGATTGTATGGTTAACCGTGATTTTGTGAGAAGGATCCAAACAACGGAAGTTAAAGAAGCTCTGAGGAAGATGGGACGGAAAAGAGCAATGGGGCCAGATGGCATACCGATCGAGGCTTGGAGAAGTTTGGGAGAGAGAGGCATCAAGTGGTTAACAAGTTTCTTCAACATGATTTGGAGAACAACAAGATGCCAACGAGTTGGAGGAAAAGTACTCTTATCCCTTTATTTAAGAATAAAGGTGATGTACAAGAATGTGCCAACTATCGAGGGATTAAGCTTATGAGTCACACCATGAAACTTTGGGAGCGAGTGATTGAGCAAAGACTTCGAAGGACTGTGAAGATTTCAGAGAATCAATTCGGTTTTATGCCTGGTCGCTCAACAACTGAGGCTATTCACCTTCTTCGTCAACTTATGGAGAAGTATAGAGATGCTCATAAGGATCTGCATTTGGTGTTCATTGACTTAGAAAAGGCATATGATAGGGTACCTCGAGAAGTTCTTTGGTGGGCCTTAACTAGGAAAGGCATATCACGCAAGTATATCAGCATCATCATGGATATGTATGAGGATTGTACTACAAGTGTTCGTACTAGTGTAGGGAGGACTGAAGAGTTCCCTATTACTATCGGAGTGCACCAAGGATCGGCCTTGAGTCCTTTCTTATTTGTCATAGTCATGGATGAACTTACGAAGTCAATTCAAGACGATATACCGTGGTGCATGATGTTTGCCGACGATATTGTATTGATTGATGAGACGCAATCAGGTCTTAAAGCAAAGTTGGAAGTATGGCGACAAACATTGGAGAATAAGGGTTTCAAACTAAGTCGGAGCAAGACAGAGTACATGGAGTGCAAGTTTGGTGGAGGTAGAAGTAGTGGTAATAGCGGAATTACTCTGGATGGTAAGGAGATACCAGTCAGTTCCGTTACTTGGGCTCCATAATTCAGAAGGACGGTGAGTTAGATGGAGATGTATCCCATAGAATCAGAACAGGGTGGATGAAGTGGAAGAGTGCGTCAGGATTTCTATGCGACCGAGGTATGCCGACTAGACTAAAGGGTAAATTTTATAGGACAGCAATTAGGCCTGCATTACTGTATGGCGTAGAGTGTTGGGCGGTGAAACAATGTCACATTCAAAAGATGAGTGTGGCAGAGATGCGCATGCTGCGTTGGATGTGTGGGCATACTAGGAAGGACCGCATGAGGAATGAGACAATCAGACAAAGGGTGGGAGTAGCACCTATTGAAGACAAGATGCGAGAGTCGCGCCTACGGTGGTTTGGTCATGTGCGTAGAAGACCGAGTGATGCACCTGTTAGGCGATTTGAAATGTGTGGAGAAGAGGCAGGGAAGAGAGGGAGAGGAAGACCCAAACAGACGTGGGTTAGGGAAGTTCGAAGTGATATGCTTCTTTTGGGGTTGGATGAGGGCATGACTTTAGAGAGAACTAAGTGGAGGGCGTGTATTCACGTGAAGGAGTGATCTTGATAATCTTTTTCCCTCATCTTTTTTTTCCTAGTTTTTTTTATCCTTATATATATATATATGCATTATTTGCAGCCTTTTTATTTTATCATTTTTATATATATTCATCTTTTTTATATTATCTTTTCATAATAGCTTATCTTTTTTATCTTTATTCCTTCTTTTCCTTTTGGTTGTGATATCATGTATCGATTCATGTTAGCCGACCCCAATATCTTTTGGGACTAAGGCTTGGATGTTGTTGTTGTTGTTGGAGTATATTTGAGTTTGCACCCCATATTTTTGTCTAAATTGGACTTTGCGCCCCATTTTTAAAAATCTTTGTTTTTGCACCCCAACCCCATATGAAAAGACTAAAATGCCCATCCATTAACAATTATGTTGACCTTCAACATATTCCTGATTGAGGGCATTTTTGTCTTTTCATATGGAGATAGGGTGCAAAAACAAAGATTTTAAAAATGAGGTGCAAAAACAAAGATTTTTAAAAACGAGGTGCAAAATCCAATTTAGACAATAATATGGGGTGCAAACTCAAATTACCCCTTTCATTTTCCAATCTTTTATGGAAATCAAGCAGGGTTCCTACCTAGGTTGGGAGCTATGCATGAAAGGTATGCAAATATATCCCTCGAGGAGGAAGGTGGTCTCATTGTGTAATAGTCCAATGGTAGGGAGAACGTAGTGGATTTCAAATTGTGTCTGGTGGGTAGTTCCTAAACAAGTAACTCCAATCTGATTGCATTGTAGTTCTCAATTGTTACTCCACAAGAAACTACTGCTAGAAGGTAAGGCATACATTTCAGTCTTTAGGTGCCTGCAACTGCCTCCTAACCAGTGCTGTATAAATGCCATCCTTGCTCAGAAGCTCATCATGAGTCCCACTCTCAACTATCTGCCCACCAGAGATCACTGCCACAGTATTTGCACTCTTCACAGTGGAAAGCCTGTGAGCTATGACAAGTACAGTCCTCCCTTTCATAAGAGAATCCATCGCATCCTGCATCCGTGAAACCCCAAATATGATTGATTATCTAAATTGACAAGAAAGAAGTAATACTAATCCTGGAGAAGTATTACATACCTGAACAAGATACTCGCTTTCAGCATCAAGAGCACTTGTGGCCTCATCCAGAAGTAAAACCCTCGGATTCATCAGCAGAGCTCTAGCAATTGCTATTCTCTGTTTCTGACCACCTGAAAGCCTTAGCCCACGCTCTCCCACATGTGTTTGGTATTTTTCAGGAAAACTTGAAATGAACTCATGGGCATTTGCCATTTTCTGTTTCCACACATTGAATAAACATTTTTTTCAAACAATATTGGACAATGAATTAATAAAATATGATCGGGTTTCCATACAATGAACAGATAAAAAACGAACCTAATGTGAAAATGTGAATGAATTAATAAAATATGATCGGGTTTCCATACGGGAAGAGAGCATGGTGGCAAGATTGTAATCAAGTGCAATTTCTGCCACCACGCTTATTCGGCAATTGCATATCTAAGACTTAAAAGTGTAACTGCAATTTGTAAAAGTGCGTCTTTCTAGGTAGTTTTCATTTTTTCAGTGGACTGCTTCATTCACATACACATAAAGTGGAAAATGAATTAATGGGGTTGAAACTTACAGCTGCATTTTCAATATCTATCATGCTTGTTGTGCCACCCAAGCCATAGGCAATGTTCTCTTCAATAGAACAATTGAAAAGAATGGGTTCCTGGCTCACTATGCTGACCTGTACTTTTGAAGTAGCATTTATTCATGAAAATACAGAAAAGGTTTGAAAAATGTCATGAATTGCAAAGGTCTTTTGCAGAAAGTTTCTCCTACAGTGGTCACATTTAAAGCATACCAATCACCAAGTATTCATTCAAGCGCATATTGTAGTACCATAAATACCTTTTTGTGTAAATGTTCATGAGAGATTTCTAACAAAGAAACCCGGTTGAGGAAGACCTTTCCTTGGGTGGGATCATAAAACCTCTCTATCAAATTAGCTATTGTCGTCTGCAGCAAAAGTCAAGTGTCAAGCCCACCACCCTCTTGTAACTGTTGCGTCTTATGATTTAATAAGCAGATACATGTGCAAGTTTGTGTTACGAGCGTGGTTGGGATCTCGTTTTAGATCTAGGAAATAGAGAATATGAGAGGAGAATAATAAAATAAGCCTAAGCTAGAATTAATTTGTGCCCGACCTTGTCAAGACACAAAAGAATTAATTCTTCCCAAGCTGTTTATTGTATAATACGGATGTCCCTTATATAGCTATTACAAGAGTCCTAATTAGAAAAGAAATTAAATGCTAACTAAGAAGTTGCCTAAAGCAACATAGGAATAATTATAAAAGTAGATAAATGCTAATTAAGAAACTGCCTAAAGCAGAATATGACTAATTATAGAAGGAGATAAATGCTAATTAAGAAGCTGCCTAAAGCAGACATAGTATTAATAATAATAGTAATAATGATAATAATATTAATAATGTATTGTTTCTTGACTTCTTCTCCCATATCATTACTCCCCTCTTGGACATCAAGCTTGTCCTCAAGCTTGAAGGGAAGTAACCGGCGATAGTGTCCACCTTTTCCACGATCAAACGGCATCATTCGGAAATAAACGAATAAACAACCATGTGTGATAATGTGAAGGAGGATGAGTTTGACATGCAGTCCTAGGACATCATGACACTTTTTCCTCTTCGCTTCTCCAAGGCCTTCATTCTTTAAATACTTGCACGGAATTAAGTGTAGTGGAGAGTTGTAGATCTTTTCTGCTGGAGTTACAAGAAACTTTTGGGCTACCAGATTTGGCAAAGGATTTACTATCAACTTATCTGGTAGATGTGGAGGCAATGAGGGCTGTTGAGATACAATTTTAGGTGTGGACGCTACTGGTTCAAGCCTCAACTTTTGCAGTGGAAACAATTCGATTTCTGGCAACGATGGAGATGGTAGAGATGTGGGCTGCAAAATCTTATCCGATGGCGGAGGCGTCTGAGTTATTGGTTGCAGTAAAGGAGATGGTGTATAGTGTGGATCTTCGCCATCTAAAATTTCTATGTAAAACAGACGTTTGCAGCGATGTTGGCCTCGGATCCATTGTTCGTCACAATTATAACATAAACCTTTAGCGTGTCTTGCAGCCACGTCAGCACGGGATAATTGTTTCCATACGGGACTAAACGTACGGCACAGAGGGGCTGTTTGGACTGAAGCAAGTCTCTTTTTAACAAAATCAAGATCTTCCATAACGGTTTCAAAGGTCAGCGTAGAAGGAGGAATAATGATAGAAGCAAGTTTCCTTGTAGCAGCAGTCAGACCCTCCATAGCAGTTGCGAGAGCCTTGGTTGTTTCAGAGATCGAGACATTCAATTCACGAAGATTTTTACTCAAACGTTCTTGGCCATGCATATACCTATTTGCACCATGTTGGAGTGTTGTGGTCACGAGTGAGGCGTCGTTGACCTGCATCTGTTTTTTTGGCTTCTCTGTTGAAGAACTAGATGTGCTGGTCCAGTATTTTTTTTTTGGAGAATTCTGAACAGGAAAAAAAAAAGGGCAGGGAAAAATTTGAAGTTTTGAACTGAGCAGGAATGTGATAAAACTGAAAAGGTGCGGAATAAGATGAATCAGACAGGAACGTGATGGCTCTGATACCAAATTGTTACGAGCGTGGTTGGGATCTCGTTTTAGATCTAGGAAATATAGAATATGAGAGGAGAATAATAAAATAAGCCTAAGCTAGAATTAATTTGTGCCCGACCTTGTCAAGACACAAAAGACTTAATTCTTCCCAAGCTGTTTATTGTATAATACGGATGTCCCTTATATAGCTATTACAAGAGTCCTAATTAGAAAAGGAAATAAATGCTAACTAAGAAGTTGCCTAAAGCAAAATAGGAATAATTATAAAAGTAGATAAATGCTAATTAAGAAACTGCCTAAAGCAGAATATGACTAATTATAGAAGGAGATAAATGCTAATTAAGAAGCTGCCTAAAGCAGACATAGTATTAATAATAATAGTAATAATGATAATAATATTAATAATGTATTGTTTCTTGACTTCTTCTCCCATATCAGTTTGTTGCATTCTCTAGACAAGCATGGCACTGGGATAAAATTTATAATGAAGAAAGACTATAAGAGATACCTTTCCGCCGCCACTTGGACCAACCAGAGCAACTTTTGACCCAGGTTCTAGTTTCAACGTAATACCCTAAAATCATAGTATGTGTGTACTGCAGTGAGCATAATCGTCACAAGGATATGACATGAGAAGAGGAGTGATTATTTACCTTGAGGACCATATGGTTGGGTCGGGAAGGATAAGCAAACCAAACATCATCTAATTCTACCTCTGCATCTTGATCTCTGTGTAAAATGACAGTTCACCAAAACACTGAACATCATGTGGGGAACATTGGCTATAACCACTCACTATTTAACGGCTTATAAATGACTATATTATATGTCCACTCAAGATGTACCACCGGTACTTCATTTAAAAAGATTGTAGCCTAATTAATAAATTGAAAACTAGAATAGCAAGAGTGCTTATATTGAAATTTGTGACTTGATTTAACTTGATTTAAGTTGATAGTTAAAAAACATAGAAATAGAATTTGTAGGCATGAAAAGTAATAATGTGTTGGTGAACAAGTGATGGGTGAAAAAATCAGGTTTAATATTTTTTGGGGTACAAGAGTATGTGCTCAACTTAGAAGTTGGCATACAAGGCTAATTTAAATCTATGTGCACAATGGAAAATGAATAAATACGTTAGACAGCAAGAAAGGAGGGGTGATGGTGGAGATTGTGAATGGAAGCGATGTCCATAGTTGTAAAGTTTAGTCTGAAAGATGAGTAAGCAATGCCATTCACTCGGTAGATTTGGTTCTTTTTGTTAATTGCATCAAAGCTTGACATAGTATTGATGGAAACTGGAAAGAAACAGGAGTTTTATTTCACGGACTGAAGGATGTGTGGAAATAACAGTCAAGTATTGACTTTAGAAGCAGTCCAACTTACCCTAAAGGACAAATATTTCCTGATTTTGGCATTGATGAGACCCGATCCAAGAGCTGAAAAACTCTCCTACTTGCTCCTGCAGCTTTCATCGCTGCAGTGTATAATCCAGATAGTCCAGATACCGAGGATCCAACTGCAAAATGAGGTTAAAATACATAACGCATCATATACCATGTTAAATTCAATACACATTGAGTTAAGGAAAATGTCAAGGGTCACTTACCAGTTAAGCTATAAAGAATAAACGATGTCAGAGATCCAGCTGTCATTGAGCCATTAATGGTCAAAGTAGCTCCATAAAGCACTACAATAATGACTGATAGAGTTGATGCTGCATTTAGGCATCCAGAGAAAAGACCGACTACTCTCTACAGAGAAAACACACCGCAATAGGAAATTAATTAGTACAGATTTTTCTTCAAACCTTAGTTTAAAAAAGCGCGCGAGGCGATTGTAGGCGAAGGGTTCATCGCTTTTTACTTACGTAGGCGGCGCAGGGTCTGAGAGGCGAGCGCCTTTCACGCTTATTAGCGCCTTTTGCGCTACTGAGAGGCGAGCGCCTTTGAAGTTCAAACTAAAAAAATATGGTTCCTTTTATTTTTTGTCCTATTTTTATATTGCCCAATGTGGGCAAGGGTGAGGTTTAATATTAAGGAACTTACAGCCTGAGTAAGTCCAAGGTTCAAAGTCTCTTCAACTTTTAAAGAGTACCGTGATGTCTCATAATCTTCTTGCGCAAAAGACCTGACTGTGCGTATTGCCCCAAAACTTTCCTACAAATAAGCAGTCAGCAACTTAAAAATCTACTAAAATCACAAGGATGGCACAACCTGTTGATAACTTATGAGAAGTGATGCAACCTTAATTCCAAATTCAGTAATATTCTGCCAATATCAGTAGAGCAACAAACCTCGGCAATTGATGAGGCCGCTGCAGCTGCAGCTTGTGTCTTGTGGGAAAGTTCACGCATATAACGGCCAAATTTGCGTACAGCAACTGATATGGCTGGAACAACTACTAAAGCCAACACTGAACCATGGAGCATAAAAACAGAAACATGAATACCTAGTATTCTAAAAACATAGTGGGAAAGTGGAAAACTGTCCTTGCTTAAAAAGATCACTGGCCATAATTACATGTTAGTTTCCATGAAGTTGTATACATGAATCCTAGACCAATAAATGCAGTAGAAAGATTCCTCAGAGCCTCTGAAAGATTTGTTGTTGCTGCACTTTTTATGATCTGAGTGTCTTCAGAGAGCCTACTAAGGAGCTCCCCAGTTCGGGTGACATCAAAGAAGGCTATCTCCTACATAATGAATGAACTTTTTCAAAGCATGCCATAAGTTAGGGAGAAGTGATACTTGTAACTACAGGAACAGAAGTCATTACTTGGTGAATGAGGTGGCTGAATAAGTTCCTTCTCAAGCGAGCCACAACTCTTTCACTAGAAGAAGAGAACAACCATGCACGAAGTGCTGTGCAGATTGAACTGAAACAAGCAAAATGTTGTCAACTCCATCAGTGCAATAGTGATCAAAGTGGAACTGCAGGGCTAGTCATATCATACTATAGGCCTGGAGAGATGATGAAAGCATGAACTCCAAAACTTAGCTAATTCTTTAAAACATATTTCCTCCATTGAGATATAAGTTCCTTACAAAAATTACTAAAATTAAATGAATTAAGCACACGATACAAATTTTCAATAATTATGCAGCCTACATTTTTCATGAAGTAGCTATAATTACATGCTTTCTGATGGAAAGGTCATCTATAACTATTTTAAGATTAATATATCAATATACTTCTCAACACATAAAATCTTCAAGTCAATCAACCTTGCTTAAAAAGTTAATGATTTTAAATAATTACCAAACCATTCACTTAAGGCTTAAATACGTTTTTAGTCCTGCAAATATGACACAGTTTGTTTTAGGTCCTTGCAAAATATTGTTTTTGTTTTTCATCCCTGTAATATGCACTATTTTGTTTTTAGTCCATCTCTAATTTCGAAACCACTCTACTTAGAAAAAAATATTGTCGATTGTTTAAATCGACTCGAAATATTTAAATTTGTCCTTTTATAATTCTTTTGAGGCTAATATGAGAGTTAAAAAATGTAAAACTAATTATTCACATTTTTAAAAGCATATATTAATATAAAATTAAATACTTTCTGAATAACATGAAAAAGAATTAGAGGAAATCTATTAGTCAGGGTTATTTTGAAGTTAAGCAGAGTTTGTTATCATCGGTGATGGACTAAAAAGAAAACTAACATAAATTGCAAGGATGAAAAACAAAAATATAAATTTGCAAGAATGTAAAACAAAATGTACTATATTTTCACGGACTAAAAACATACTACGTATTTTGAAAACAATAAGTTATTTTATTTATATTCTGCCTGAGATCCCAATAACTAGTCAAAGCCAACTAAATCAACACCTGATTACTACCAGTAAACTAATGATAAACTTTAGGGTAAGAAAATAGTTTGAAAACAAAAAAAAAAATCATTTTTGGATCATAAAAATGTATAGCATTAACGATATACTATTGCATGCATATTGCGAGACGGTTAAATAATTGGGGGCCCTCATTATTTGGGATTTGGGAACGAAGCAGGCGAGTGCCTTGGCTGCCCTCAAGACCAGGCCTGAGTGGCTGAGTAGATGACAAAGTCTAGGAAGAACTATTGTTTTTATGAAGAGTGCGGCTTCCACCACTAGTGCAAGACTCATTAATATCAAGCATATACATAAACTCAGAATTTAAGACGGAGGTTGAAATGACACATCAAAACAATAAGAGATGTCAAATCTCTTCTGGAGTTTTTGCAGGCTTGAAAAGGTGGAAGTGGAGAATGAATTACTATAGACATGTAGCAATTTCAATAAAACTAAAGAACGTACCCCACAATTACAATCAAAAATATTTCAAGAATAGTGCTTTTTACAGCTCCTATAGCTTCATCTCTCTGTTCATCAGTTTGGATATTCCTTGAAACAATATCGATAATTGTTCCTCCAAATTTTGGCTGCAAAACAAATTCAAAAGCATTAAAATTTCGTATTTCTGGGCTTGGAGAGTGGACGTGGTTTGATAATTTCCTAGGGCAGGATTACTTACAATCAAAATGCTAGAAGTTGATGCGATCAAGAGTGCTATTGTTGCAATGATTAACTTACCCGCTTCAGGTTTAGCCTGTTAATAGCAAGTTTAAAAGTTCGACATAGGTATAAAAGCATGCCATACTAATTAACCATGATTACCACATGATTCATCCACTAGAGCCTAGAGGAATGACCCATATAACTTACTAGTGAAAGCACCCGGAAGAATCCCACGTTTGGGGCCTAAAGATTTCATCATATGACAAAAGGTTAGTTACTTATGCATTTTACAATGGTCAAATAAACATAACTCTAAGACCCAAAGTCCTAAAGGAATCTTAAAATTACCGGTGCTCCATCCCCATGCTCAAGGTCAGTGAGCTGACCATTCTCGGCTGCAGCATCTCTCTTTCTACCTGCCTATCAAAACAAGATAATCAAGTTAACCATGAGACAGTAATTCCCACCGCAGACATCACATATCAAGACAGACACAATTCATCAAAACACCAATGAATCAAATTATCAAACACATGCCAAGCACTCTAATTTACTACATAAAGTCCCAAAAGAAACGACACAAGTAGGAACAGAAAAGAGCTTCTCTCAATCAGGCAAACTGTACCATACGTATCTTACAAGTGCAAATTCTTGAAATTTATACAATTCACATACATGAAATGAGAAACAGAACAGCATGCCCACTCGGGTGGGGTTATTATTATTAAATAAAAAATAATATCTTACATGTCTGCTCAAGAGAGGATCCCTTTCACTGCCAAGGCCATGGCCATGCATTATTCCTGAAAACCTGTCCGGTGTATGAATATCACCTGCGATAAGAAACTTTTGAAGTCTGTGAGTCTTCGGAGAAATACACTTGTATGAGAGTCCGTGGATCCATCATCATGGTTCCTGAACGAGTGGTTCTTAGAAAAAATGGAAGGTAACTTCAGTGAGGTGGGCCTTTTTAGCTACTAGTACTTTATTGGAAAGGAATTTCATCCAAACCACACCACGGACTCGACTACCTCACTACCTTTTTGCTCTGAAGGGGTAACGCCAAGTCTGCGGGCCCTAGAGTGCAAGTACAAATGATCTGCAATTTTGTCAACACACCATTAATTAACAATCAAAAATGATGTTTTTACACACTTTTAGTACACATATATGTCCGTGAAAGCTATTTTTTTTGTCTGTGAACATCGATTCACAGACAATGTTTTGCACAAACAAAATATTGTCTGTGAACCGGGTTCACAGACAAAAAAAACTTCACAAACATGGTGTGTATAAGGTGTGTATAAGGGTGTGTACATCAAGAATGGTTGAATTAACAATAGTGCAGCACAGAAAGGAAATATCTCGCCTCTAACTTTTCTTACGGTATTAGCCAATTTTGTACTGCCTCCTTGCCAAAAGACGTTAATCACATAGTTTTTATTTTATTAATTTACGTGCAAGTCAACATTATTAAGTTTTGTGGAACCGATGGAGTATATATCGAGAATATAAATGACGTCGGAGAAAGAAGGGTGCTTCTATGTAGAAAATGACATTGTACTCATACAATCATGCATATGCTCACAGTTCTTTATAACTTTGTCATCTTTCTTTTTTAGTTGTCCCAAAAACTTTGTTACTTTCCATTTTAATCAATGAATTTGTGGTTCCTGTTATTTCTTTCTTCTCTACACAAAACTCAACCACACAGTTTTTAGTTTTTTACTTTATTATTTCCTGTGACAGTCAAACATGACAAAGTATTGAGGGGCCGAAAAAATAGTACTACATTCGTCCCGTTGGAAGGTTCTCGTAGCAAAACGGCACGATTATTTAGGTAGTAATTAAATAAAGTGCTTCGGGTATATTTTGAGAAATAATTTTAATAGATATATATTATAATGTACGGAGTAGTTAGTATTCATAACTGTGATATTGTAAATGTATTATTTTTAATATTTAATGATTACACTTAAGATTGTTAATTGTTTCCTAAAATGGAAATGGAAACCTTCTAACGGGACGTCCAAAAAAAGGAAAGTGAGAACCTTCCGGAGGGAGTAGTTAATGTCTAAGCCTCTAACTATTTGTACACAGTACCAACATCTTCTTATTCTCTCATTTCTTCCTTTTCTTCCTCTTCATTCTCTCTGTTCATTCACATTCCTATATCATGAAATTCTTCTATAGTATTTTAAATCCAGTTTTTCATTGAATTACTTTCACAAAATTAACATATTTTTCTCTTTCCATCTACTTTATTACTCATATCATTTAATTGTTTTCAAATTACATGTAAATTGATTGCACGGATAATTAAAATTGACCATAGCTAAAATAGATTACACATACAACTATTGTAGAGTACAATAGAACTCTTATTTGTGTTATAAAATCTATGTGAATATAGACAACTAAAAGTGATCGTGTGGACAATTATTGTATATGAGTAGCACAATTATTGTGTGAGTAGTAAAATTTACCTCAAAACCCACAATTTGCTCACAAAATACTATTGTCTATGCACACATGCATTGCACACACAAATTGGTTTGCACGCCAGCACCGACTAGTACCCTTTCACGTCTCCCCTCTCCGCTCTCGCATCTTACTTTTGAGTGATTTTCTGATTTTTAATTTTGTCGATATCAGTTTCTCCCATTTTAGAAGATTTGTTGTGATTGGCATCAACCAATTCTTCTTCTCCATCTTCCTCCTCTTCTTCTTCCTCTTCCTCCTCCTCCTCATCCTATTTAGCATCCTCCTCCATTGTTTTCTAATGTCTTCTTTTTTATTTTGATTTTACTCCGTATTATTTTGGTTGATTTTAATCAATTCTGTAAAGTTTCTAGATTAATGTTAGTGTCTTATTCCACGCTCTCTCCATCCTGTTAAGATTGTCTATATTTTCTTTTTAGTTTTTCACCCTAAGACTGTCACATGCTGAATTTGTTACAAAATATGTGATTCTAAATCATTCCCACTTTATTAAGATAATTGTCAAATAAGTCCTCCCAGAATATCAAAAAGTCAATTAAGTCTTCATACTTTAAAATTAATCAATTGAATCCTCACACTCTTAAAAAAACTCATTTCAACTATTTAGCCAGTAAAGAACAAGTTTAATTTTCAGGTCAACTGTCCACGTGGAATGCACATGTGGCCAAACCCTTTGACTCTCTTCTTCTCCAACCACCTCATAGTGTTCTGATACACTCCTTTTGGTTTGCCGATTTTGCTCAACATCATAAAGTTCTGATCGTCTTTCAGTTAACTAAAAAAAGGTGGCATCTTGACCGTGCTGGATGGTAGCAATGTTGGTCGAGATAGTAGATTCATAAATGTTGTTATTCCCGTTTATTATTTAGATTTTAGAAGTCTCTCCAATATACGCACAAATTTACATACACCATTAAGGTGGCGTTTTAGAAGTTTTGTTTGTAACATTTTTTCTAATGTTTTAGTCCTATTAAGAGGATTATCTCTAGACTTTTAAAAAATTAAACAACACGTGCCAAGAGCCTCAGAGGTACAAATCAATAAGTATATCCCAAAATTCAAAAATTCAAAATCGCTTAAAAATAAATATTGCATAGCATAGAATATGTTTTTTTAGTAAAATTGTCTTAAAATTTTAGGTTGCTTTGATTTTTTGCTCAATTTCTTTTTTATTGAAGGTCCCCACTAAAAAATTGAACGATTGAAGTGATTCCACCATGATCCATATGACCCACTCCAAAAGGGAGAGATATCAAGTTCTTTATCATCGGTGATGGTTTAAAGAGAAAATAAATATAAATCTCAGCGATGAAGAACATAAAAGTGATTTTGTAAGGATGCAAAATAAAATGCACTATGTTACAAGAACTGAACACATATTTAGTAGTCATAGTATTTTAATAGAGACCTTTACAGAATAATACAGACTTATAAATTATAAAAAGTAATTGACCTAAATAAGAGTAAAACATTAGATATAGGAGTACACTTTGACTTATTCCCAAAATAGGAGTTAATAAATATCACTCGCGTCCTCTTTCCAATATGCTACTCTCTCTCTCTCTCTCTCCTCCAAGTTTCCATAATTTCCCGTCTATCTTATGCGATCAAGACTCTCTCCTCCATCTGCAGGTGAGGTTTGATTTCTCCAAAAATAGCACGGGTAAGTTCCAATCCCGTTCTTCTTCCTCCTTCTCCGACCTTCTCTTATTCCTCCTTTTTTCTTCTCCTTTCTTATACATCTTGTTTTCTAGTTTAATTCTTCCCCACCAATTGGTGCTCTACTCTTCATCTTCCCCACCAATTCATCCTCTTCCCCTGTAATTGATTACAATCAATATTTTTATAAATTTCATACTCCTATTAGATTTATATTTCATTTTGGAATTGCCATTTTCACTATTTTTAATTCAATTATCGATTCAAAAATAAAATAAATGTTTTGTATTAAGAAATAAATATTATTTATTTCGAAATAGAGTACTAAAAGTCACTAATTCCATTTGAATTTGTTATTTTAATTTTTAACACATAATGCTACTTTTATGGCATGGTACCCATCAGGATAATGGCAATAATGATAATTTTATTGTGTGTCCATATAAATTGTTAATTTGACACAATAATGCTATCTATATAGCACTAAAGTTCACCACGACGGTAATACTAATAATTCCATGGTGTGTCCATGTAGTGTTAATTTGACACAATAATGACACCCCCCTTGCAAAGTGGAAATAAAGTTCATCAAAGTGGAAATATCCCCCTTGCAATGTTTATAATGCCATGCAATTGTGAAGAATGTCATTAAGATGACATTTTTTAGAGGTACTCTTTCAAGAATTGAGACCAATGGTAGAGGTGGCAGTGGCACGAATCTAACAACAATGTCAGAGAAGGTGGTAGCGACGACGTTAGAGTTGTGGCGACAATGAAGATGGCGGCGACGATAGGCAACAATGTTAGTTGCGGTTGCCGTGACGACGACTAGTGATCATGGTGGTCGCGACGGTGGTAACAACAATTGATGACCGCGGCGATAGCAAATGTTGACATCGGCAATTCTGGCTTGGGTGGTCGTGTTTGAAGCTTTTAAATTATTGTGGAGTATTTTATTTTATTTTTTAATAAAAAAATTAAAGTACTTTTCATCAAGATACTTTTGTCAAGTCATACATTTTTACTTCTATGTAACTATACAAAATTTTGAACTCATATTTTTGCACTTTTATATTGTTTTACTCCCAATTACGTAATTAACTCAAATTATAAACTAACTGTGAGATTGAAATGATTATCACACCCCATCAGTATGTGAGTATGTCCCACTCAAAGTATCCCACTTTGAGTCGGATTAATTTCGTTTTAAATGTTTAGCAAATGCTTCTTTCCAATTTTGGTTACAAATACTCTCTCCGTCCCGCAAAGAACTTCCCGGTTTGATCTAAACACATATTAAGGAAATAAATTTATTAGGGGGTAAATTTTACTGTTTTGACACTGTTTCGACATTGTTTGTCACTATTTAACAATGTTTTGCACTGTTTGGCATTATTTAGATGTAGATAATTCCCGTTTAGGGAAATGAGAATTTCTTTTTTGGACTAAAAAAGGAAAGCTCCGGAGTAAATAAATACCCTCTTTCGGCTCCAGGTGCTCGTGCCCTACTTTTTTCTTTCACTGGTTTACTGCTCAATCCGCGTGTTTGCGGCTGGAAGTCAGAATTTGAATCGTCAAAAGGGGAGAATATGTTGAGAGCCGCAAATCGAACTGCGAATTCAATTTCTGGAAATATCAACCTGTTCGGAAGTGTGGTTGATTCATATTCAGTAGCGTGTGAAGCGTACTCTGAACATCTCGTTCTTTGACACCCAATTTTTGGTAGATCGTTTCTCTTTCATTTTGTCAGTCTTCCGAGAATTGAAGCCTGCTGCGGAGATGGATTTCGCGACACCAGGAGATGCGTTTCCTTCGACAGGGAAAGGGAAGTCCGACGCTTTCGAGTCAGATGACGTGGTCGAAGTATCCCCTAACAAGCGGTACATCCGGTATAATGAAATCCTGGGCAGAGGAGCATCCAAGACTGTGTATAAGGCGTTCGATGAAACTGATGGAATTGAGGTCGCATGGAGCCAAATCCGCTTAGATGACCCGTTACAGTCTACAGAGGATATGGAAAGAGTGAACACTGAGATTCACTTGCTGAGATCCTTGAAGCATGTCAACATCATAAAATCACACTGCATCTGGCTTGATAACCAGAAGAAAAGGATTAACGCTATCACCGAATTGTTCTGCTCTGGAAGCTTGAGGCAATATCGGAAGAAACATAAGTTGGTTGATATGAAGGCCATCAAGAACTGGGCAAGACAGATTCTCCATGGTTTGCATTATCTTCACAGTCAGAACCCTCCTGTTATCCACAGAGACTTGAAGTGTGATAATATCTTCATTAATGGGAACAGCGGGGAAGTTAGAATTGGAGATCTCGGATTGGCTACAATCATGTTGCAGCCTACTGCCCGAAGCGTTGTGGGTACTCCTGAGTTTATGGCGCCTGAGCTCTATGATGAACAGTATGACAACCGTATTGACATTTACTCTTTCGGCATGTGCTTATTGGAGCTGATAACATGTGAATACCCTTATAGTGAGTGTAAAACTGTGGCACACATCTTTAAAAAAGTGACATCAGGGATAAAACCAGCTGCCTTAGATAAAGTTAAAAATATCGAAGCAAAACGATTTATAGAAAATTGCTTGGTCCCGGCTTCTCAAAGGCCAAGTGCTGCACAACTGTTGAAAGACTCGTTCCTTTCTGACACTTTGGTGAACTCCTCCACCTCCATGTCGAGATCTGTAAGTTTGTCAAGTCTTGAATCACTATCAAAGGACATTGGAGCTCCCCAAACATTGGAATTCCTTAGATGCAATAAGAAGAATGAGTTTAAGCTAAAAGGAGAGAAGTGTGACGGAGATTCAATTTCATTTAGCCTCCACATTGCTGACTTTGGGGGGAACACAAGGCATATTGATTTCCTGTTCTACCTTGATAGTGACACGGCTCTCACAATTGCTGGTGAGATGGTAGAGCAACTTGAGTTAGCAAGTGAAGATGTGGTAGTAATAGCTGACATGATTGATAGCTTAGTTTCAAGACTTGTACCAATCTGGAAGCAATCACGTACCAGTTTGGCTGCTGTAAACAGTGCACATAATAACTCCATTTCGACAGTCTCTTCTGAGAAGGGTGAATCAGAACTGGTTGTTGGCAAAGGAACTACTGAGCAGAGTGTCTTTCCTCTGACACCAAGTGAGAATAAACGCATTGATGAATTGGCCCTTGTATCCAAAGAACGTGTTGATGAGGGGCGTGGTGAATGCTCAAAGGATTTGCAGAAGAGTGTTACTTCAGGCATGTCATGCCTCTCTGTAGCAGAGAAGGATGATAACAAAGGTTTAGTAAAGCCAGAAACGGAGGCTTTTGATATGCAGTATCAGCAATATTGTCGTGAAATCATGAGGATCAGGGAGAAGGCAACTAGAAATTGTAAAAGGAAATGGATAGCACGGAGGAAGATAAATGTGTTTTGATGTATACACACACACACACACTTGTATATGCTAGATAGTTAACCGTGAATTATCATGTTATTGCGATTTGTTGTTCCTCTTCAAATAAAACCTGTGTTGTTTTTTCAATGTTCAAGTATATTTTTGCGATTTTAAGCTTTAAAATGTCAGTATGTTTTTTATTTACAACAACATGCATTTCTAATTCTAATAATTTCAACTCCTACCATAAAAAATAGATTCAACTCCTAGAGTTAAAAATAATACTACCTTTATGTAGAAGCAAGCTTGTTTGATTTCCCAATGATATGCTTGGAAGTATAAAGATGTTTCCTTTTGGATTGAAATTTGCTGGTCTGATTTGGTCCGTTTAAGTCTGATTTGTTAAACGTCTAGTCTCTGTGTATTTTATAACTATTGAAGTCTAGTTTGGTCTATTTAAGTTTGGTCGTCTGTTTAAGTCTGGTCTAATGTGGTCTGGTTTGGGACTGAAAACAGTTCTAAAGAAAACATCTTAAATGTAAAATGCTACATATATGTTAGGTACACTTTTAGGAAGTATTTGAATAGTTTGTAAATGATTTTTTTGTACTAGTGGGAAGGGTGGGTGGATGGTGGCTGGAAGGGATGGCTCGACAGTGATTTCAGACAAGAAAGGGAAAGTCGGGCGGTAGATATTTGACAGTGAGGGAAGGGGCAGATGGCGACGAGCTCACCGGATTCCACTGGGTGCTGCAATCTTCTCCAATCCAGACTCACCGGAGACCACAACGGATGGATGACGACGAGTCCAACAATAAACTCGACATCTGTTGTTGCTACCTTCTCCCTTGCACACTGCTGCTACCGTCCGTCGTGTCACATTTGCTGATATTGGTCAAGAATCAAGGCGGTAAAATGCATGTAAAATGTCACAAAGGTGATGAAATTGGTTGCCGCTGCAAAGGTCCAGAGAGCTCAAGGGGCTGCCTTGAGGTCTAGACCTTCCTCAAGGCCCTTTGTTGAGGTTTTGTACAACATAAATGAGCAATTCCAGGGGAGTCCGTTTAACAGCAGTGTATGAAAAAAATTGCTTGTTGTCAACGATGATACATTTCTTTGCGGACAACGCTATCTTGAAGAAATCTAATGATTCTGTCGACGGCTCTATCCTCATATGAAAAATCCATAAAACAACTAGAAAGCCTCGAGAAAGAAAAAGAAAATTAAGACTGGTAAAAGAAACAAGAAAGAGAAAGTTAAAAATTGCTTTTATTTCCAAAAACTGCTATCGTATACAATTAAGCATTTTTCACTATAATTCTAGAACAAATCACTTCTAACCATGCCATGCAAATATTACCTTAATCTTGATCACAACCCTAATACAGCTAAGCTAGGTGAGAAAAGGAAGATGTCATGATTAACATATCGAAGCTCCAGCATGACAGTAAGTCTGTTGAAACAATTCATTATCTTGAAGCTGAGGTTTATTTCTTCCGCCTGCTCTCCATCTGACAGGCATGGTTGGAGTCCCAAGATATCAATTTGGTGCTTCTTCAGAAAACACTAACGTGCTTCTCTCCAGAACCGTACAGACTGGTCGATCCCACAAGAAAAAAATACAGCCTCAGTCGGAGAATGCTCAATCCAACGAGGAGCACCAACATGTGTGGAGGGCAATCTAGCCACTTTTTCTGTAGTCAGAGCATCCCATATAGCAATCTGTGACCAATGTTAAACTGTTAAATACCTTTAGATGTACACTTGTTCAGATTCAAAAGTTGAAGAATCAAAACTAACCTCATTGCTCGATTCATCTATGGATAGTACAAATTCTTCTGTATCATTGAACACAGCCTGCATGAAACACATTGATCAATGATCATGCGTCTACTCAAGAACCAAGGAACAATGAATGTATATACTGTTTGTAGAGCATCAACAGCTTGGTTGTAGACCTAATATAAGAATGAAAAACCAAATACCTATGCTGACTTATATATGGCACCTGGATTCAATTATTAACTCAACAGCAGTACCGATATAAACTGAAAAATGTCAGATTCAAGCCACCACGAAGTTTTAATAGAAATCGCAATGAAGAAGCTTATGCATGTCCTAATAAGGGGGTTTGTTCTATACAGAAGCAGACACAAGCTTAGGTTTTCTTCAAAATATGTCATGTTAAGCAGCCATTTACCTGGAATCGCAATTGAGTATGTATAGCTCCATGATACAGCTTCACCAATCTTCCTGTTCCAACTTCCCAAAGCTTCACAGAAGAGTCCTTTCCACAAGAAAGGACATACCTAAAAGAATAATCTTCATGTCATTTGCCCAATAAATAAATAAAATCTATTGGTAACTCGGTCCAAATATAACACTGCTATATTGTTGCATTTCACTTGGGCTTGCCCTACTCAAGAAAAGAGGCCCTAGTTAGCAGGAACAAATTATGAAGAGGCAAAAGTATACTAATCCTGAAGCTTTGCTTCATTTCTAATGTTCGTTATAGCTCAAGGAGAAGATTAGGGCAAAGAAGACAAGAAAGTATTATAACATCCGTGGTAACCATAAATCACTTCTCTCTCTTTCTCCCATCTTGTTCTTATTTGACTGCATTTCTTTAATAAAAAGACTACTCCCTCCATCCCACTAAACTTTGGCAATGATTTTTCTTGGTCTAGGTAATAAACTTTGAGCATTGATTTTAATTACTCCCTCCATCCCGCTAACAATGGGACAAGAGGGAGTGACACGCATATTAATAAAAAGTGGTTTATGTGGTTGATAATGAATTGATAAGGTAAGAATAAAGTAAGAATGATTTAGAGCCACACAAACTTTGCCAAATTTGGTATGGGACAATCTTAGTGGGACGGACCGATAAGGTAAAACGGGACAATCATAGCGAACGGAGGTAGTATTATATTTATGTGAAATTTATCTTTTATTCTTTTATACTTCTATGAAAATACTTTTAACAAAAAACATTTTTATATAATTTTCATATTTTAAATTATTTTGTGTTAAAAAATATAGTTAGTCAAACTTGATCATTATTGACCAAGAAAAGTCAATATGGCCAAGTTTTATGGGACGGAGGCAACATGTCATATCAAACTCCAAATTCATGAAATTCCCTACCCTAAGATGAAATATGGTTCATGTGTTTAAATATATCTGTACCTTTGATCTTTTGTAAAGTTTGCACTTGTAACTTCCATCGTTCCATGTGCACCATCTATGGATCGAACGCAATTGGCAGTCACACCATCCCAAAACCGAATAGCACCATCTTTGGATGCTGTTACATACATACCGCCGCTTCGTGAATATCTAACCTGATAAAGAGAGGAATTGGTCGACTAATTAACTTATATGATGTACAGATTATAAAATACAAACACCAAACTCACTACCTGATTTATTGCTCCATTACCAACACTGTCTTGGAAACTCATAGACAGGTAACATTGAAAAGTATTGATATCATATAGATGAGGGATATGATGATCAGTTCCTGTAAGTACCCATTGACCCTTGTCAAATGTCAATTTCTGAAAAAGACACCACTTTAACATCTCTACCTAACTATGAGAGTAAGAACTATACAAAATTTTAACCCCTCCAAAGTCTGAAGAATTTGAGTCTGAACTCTAACCCTACATTAGAATAAGAATACTCTTACTCTATAATTGACTTGTTTAGTGGGCGGCATCTAAAGGTCTAGTCTTCAGTTTGAAGATCCTTAAAATTTCCTACTTCCTAGCAACAGTAGAAGTCACTAATCACTTAATATTTCTTTCATTTGTTAAACTATAAAGCATATTCTCTGTGAATGCAGGATAATACTTTTTGGTTTATGCTGTATTTGGGAGCAGAAAACATCCTCATGAAAAAGTTTTCCTTGAGTTCTTGCATTTATGTGGAAAAAGAGTTCCTTTTTCAGCTCGCTCTTTAACTTCTTTTTAAGAGTTGAAGTCATTTCCAATTATCCACAGAATATGTTTCACAACTTAAACTTCAGAAGTCAAACGAGCCTAAATCCATTCTTCATACATCTTATCAAATTTCTTTCCTATCATGGTAAGATTCGGAGATAACTTTACTTGCCTGCCAGAAGATAATCTCCTGAAGGATGAATTGACACAGACCTCACATTATGAGTATCCTGATACAATAAATACCCAAACTTTGATGTAAGGGACCATAATATATCAAATAGAAACATGTTATCTAAGTTTCTTTAAAATCAATGGTCGCAATAGACAAAAAAGCCCAAGAAACCTGAATAATTCTAAAAGCTCTCTTTGCTACTGCTTTTGAAAAATCAAAGAACCTACAAGAAAGAAAGCACTTTAGTGCATAATAAATGACAGCTTTGCTTTTTTATATCAGGAAGTGTGATTACTTACTCATAACTCATAACTCATAACTGATGAAGTTCCACAGGAACATTACAGTTAAATTATTCTCCATATCTATCTAATTCAATTATACATTTAATATCCTTGTTTTCAACTTCTTTTGTGTATATGTGTAGAATTTGCCATTATTAAAAGCTCTATACTTACTAGTTACTACACACTAAATCATACTTGTCTTGAGAATAAAGCTCAAAGTATAATCTAATATGCTTTAAAACGTAGCTCAAAATTAGACTGTTGAAAATTCAGAAGCAAACCTAAACAAACAGTTTAAGTATTTAGCAAGCAACTAGTGAGAAATAAAACACACTAGAAGCATATACTGGAAAACAAACTCATACTTGATGGTGTGATCTTTTGCCCCAGATATCACAACTGCATTTTGAGGATGAAAATCTAAATCATTAATTGGCTGCAGATGCAAAAAAAGCAGGTAAGCAGGGAAACTCCAGGTGCTACAAAGTCCATAATCTTAACTGAGGGTTATGACTAGATATGTTGAGACCTGAAGATTTCATAATGGGAAACACAATATCCACTAATTCACAATGAGATATACTACCTCCATCCCGGTAAAGGTTCCCATGGAAAAATGGCACGGTTGTTTAGATAATAATTAAATAAGATAATTTGAGTATATTTTGAGAAATAATTTTGATGATTATATAATAAAATCGGGTCATTGATGATAACTGTGATGTTATAGATGCATTATTTTTAATACGTGATGATTAAATAGTCACTTAAGAGTGTTAATTGTTTCCTAAAATAGAAATAGGGTAGTTGGGATGTCCAAAAAAGGAAAGAGAGAACCTTAGAATGGGACGGAGGGAGTAATATGTCCAAATATTACTTCCTGCATTCCTTTTGCATCTGTCCAAATATTATCTTTCCATTCCTTTGAAGGACAAATTTTGTTGTTGATATTGTTTCTTTCCTTTCTAAATAAATCTTAACCATGAAAATCCATTCTCTTAAATGTCATTCCAAAAGAAAATGGGAAGTTGTTTTGGGATGAATAGAGTACTAAGTAACCAACATGTAATATACCAAGATCCAATAATAACAACTTTTTCCTTTCTAGTTTTTTAGCTTAAAACCATAAAACACAGATGAAATGTTGAACTACTGTGTCCAGGAGCATTTAGCACCACCCTTGAATCATGGAATAATAAATTACACTCATTGAATAAAGGGCAAGTCAATTTGATGATTGATTGTAAAGAAAATGGTATAATGTTAAAAAACTGAAACCAAATATCATTGTTATCATTTTTAGTTCCGATTTTATATGTCGGTTCATGTTATCAGAACAACGATAAAAAAGATAAGATAAAAGATATAAAGATATAAAAGATAAAGAACATTAGAAAGAAAAAAAGAAATAAGAGATGAAAAGAGATCAATCCTCCACCCGAATATACTATCTCCACTTCACTCTCTCCAAAGTCATACGCACATTCAATCCAAGATGTAGCATATCACTCTTGACTCCTCTAATCCACATCCTTTTGGGTGTTCCTCTCCCTATCCTCTTCGCCTCTTCTCCACACCTTTCAACTTGGGTGCATCACTCTCGGTCTTATCTTCTGTAAACTATTCTCACTTTTTGTCTGATTATCTCATTCTTTAAACGGTTTTTCCTAATATGTCCACACATCCAACACAATATGTGCATCACAGCCACACTCATCTTTTGAATGTGAAATTATTTCATCATCCAACACTCTATGCCATATAGTGATGCAAGCTTAATTGCTACCCAATAAAACATTACCTTCAATCTAGTCGGCATACCTCAATCACATAGAAATCATGACTCAATCTTCCGTTTCATACACTATGTTCTGATTATGGAGTCTAGGTAATGAAACATATCACTGACCAGTATCTCCTTAGTCCTTACCGTCCAAGATAATCTCACTGTTACCATTGCTTCTACCTCCACCAAACTCACACTCTGTATACTCAGTTTTGCTTTGACTCAGCCTGAAATCCTTCGGGGCATCAATATGGGTAGTTTGGAAATAAGAAAGAAAAAACAAACAAAAAAACCAGATTTGTATAGCTTGAGCTGAAATAAGGACAGTTTGGGGAAATGCATAAAGAAATCCATATGCAAACTAATGTGTCAACTAGAGCTCAAAACTCGGCAGTCGGTATCAGTAAGCACTAAGCATAGCACAAGTTCCAAATCTACCTGAGTGTGATCATAAAATGTTCGTATAACTGGCCTCACTTGGCCATCTTTTGTCTCTGGCTGCAACATTTGTTTGACTTTTGAAACCTTCACAGGAAGATTATAGGAACTAAAAACAAAGGTTGCAAATCACAAGAGCCAAAAAGAAAGATTAAGATAAAAAAGATGATAAACATAGCAAAGAGAGGGCAGTACCTCAAAGAGTTTGATTGATGAGTCTGCACTTCCAGAAGCAAGAAACCTACCATCAGAACTAAATCTTGCACATCTAGCAATGCCCTACAAAAATCATCTTGTAAGTTGTAACATGCCATCACATCAGATACGGCGTCTAATAAATGAAGCAGTAAATCAAAGATGAAGTCAACTTTAGAAACGACAATTTGCTGAAGGCATACACCTTGTGTTCAGAAATATGTCGAACTTCATGTTTGGGAATTTTTTTTGAAGATCCTTTGGTATCATGTGCAATACTGTTTAGGAAGAAGCACACACTATCAGAACATCAGCTATCGTAAACAAATCAACACGGAAAACATATAGAAGTAAAAACACAGTTCATAGCCAGTTCAAATATGCTTTGGTTTGGTGGAAATAATAACCTAAAATCAACCAAAGTTGCCCGACGAGCTAGTATGGAGCCATATCCATCAGCTAGAGTTGGATCAAATGGTGCAGCTGAAGAAACTCCATTCAGCATTTCAACCTTCTCAGCTGCAAGACCCTGTTAACCAGTTATAACATCATGATTGATTTTTTTAATCTATTTTTCCTACTCTAATCATGAGATGAAAACTCTGAGGATCCAATAAAAACCATACCTTTGCAACCAATTCAAGTAGCCTATTACGAGGAGCTTCAACAGTCAATGGCGTCATTGTAGCTGATGCAACAGCTCTTGCAGCCTGAAAACAAGGACGGTAAATTCTATTATTTCAGATTGACAGTTTCAATTTAATCCACATATACCAACCTTATATGAGCTGTTTGGTTGGAAGCATTTTACCAGTGATCTTATTATCACTGGTACTGTGTCACATGGAATGTGATATTGCCTGTGGTTTGTGTGTCAACATTGCCATAGGTAATTACATTACCCATGCAGTGGTGATATTGGTGCCATTGTGGTTGCCATCCTATTTTTAGGTCAAGAAGTGCTAACTATAATCACTTTAGCACCCTCCATTTGACACTTTCACTTTGATCGGGTAACAATGAGAGTGACACAACTTATCTTCTTTTTGTTGGACAATTTTGTTTGAGGAAAATAATAAGTTATGAGAGTCACACCTTGTGCCTATCAAAGAGTAAGGTGTTGCTTCTGTTTACCATAAATTCTTGATCTTCCTCATTATTACTTGTTCTTATTATTCTAACAAATCATAAAGATTCGGTCCAGATCAAACCACATGAGAAAGACTCTGACCAGACTGAAAAGATTATACTTCAGAAACATTCCAATCCGACTAGACCCGAGAAATTAACATTAAACCATAACAATGTTATATTTCTTAAAACTAATCACCAGCATCGTTTTTGTATTTATTGTTACTATATTCTCACTGTTATTATTCCTTATTATTACTTCTATCATTGTATGAATAATATTTCAATCATCATCATTTTACCGAGTTTTCAAGCCCGTGTGATGCATGAAAAATTATTTGGTATAAAATCCCTCATATGTGGCAAGATCACACGTGTAGTGCATGGTATGATTAATTCTAGTAATTGCAAAAAACATATACTCCCTCCGGTCCCAAATGAAATTCACACTTTCCTTTTTGGGTAGGTCCAAAATAAACTTCACACTTCTTCTCCCTTCCTTATTTGGCAAATTATCTACATCAAAACAGTGCAAAACAGTGCAAAACGTGCAAAACAGTGCCAAACAGTGTAACAATGTACTCTACAGTAAAGTCAAATTTATTTCCTTAATTTGTGTGAAGTTGAATTTCATTTGGGACCGGAGGGAGTATATTAAAAGACGCTGAATTACAAATAGTGCATCTTAATCATTTTATTGCTAACAATCATTACTCCTCACTATTACTCCTTTAAGAAAATAACATAGTTTAATCATCTAGGTTTTGTCATAATGTCATATCAACGTTTTGTTGCATTTCATGATTTTCATCTCCTAATAAAATTATGGTCATCTTCCTTTGTGAATATAACCCACATTGAGTGAAACCATGTAAAATTGCTCCAACCTTTTCCAATTTTGTTCGTCTTCTTTTACCATCTTCTTGTTAGATATACATCTTTGTAATAGACTAGAAGCCTTATGTTGTAATAGCATATAGTATACTGCTAGACAGTGCCTCGGTTAGTTGTTGTCTGTTGGCTCAACTAACCCTATAAATACTTGTATTCCAATACAGTTGTAATGTTAAGATAATTCTGTTAGCATTCAATACTCTTCCTCTTTCTCTCTCTTTCTAATATGGTATCAGAGCTTTAGCTTGATCCATCAATGGCGATCACAGATAACACGTCGAACTCTTCCTCTGCTACTGCAACTTCCACAAATTCCACATCTCTAGTGACGTTTGCACATCCGCTTCCACTCAAGCTTGATGCTAACAATTTCATCTTCTGGAAACATCATGTAGAATCCGTCGTTCGAGCACACGAACTCCTTCAGTTTATCGTCAAACCAGAGATTCCAAAACAATTCATCTCCAACGAAGATGAAGCAGCAGGAACGGTGAACGAAGTGTATGTTGCCTAGGAGCAACAAGATCAAATGTTGTTCTCGTGGCTACTCGTGTCGCTATCTGAAGCACTTCATGCTCATGTTATCCATTGCAGACACTCGTATGAGCTATGGAGTGAGATCAACACCTTCTTCCAATCAAGCATCATCGCAAAGCCAAACAACTAAAATCGGAGCTACATAACACTGTGAAAGGTGATCGTTCCATCTCTGAGTATCTCCTTCGCATCCAAACAATCGATGACAATCTTCTGTCAATTGGAGAACCGATATCTTCTAAGGATTACATTAATGTGATCCTCGAAGGCTTACTTGAGGAATATGAATCTCTGGCTTCATCAATATCTTCTCGTACCATTCTCGATCCTCCAACTTTGTCTGAAGTTGAATCTCTTTTGTCTGCCAAAGAGATATGACTGCAAAAGCTTTGTGAACCATCTCAGCAGAATCTACTATCTGCAAATGTTGCTCACTTGGAGGTTTCAACTCCAAATACTCATTCAACCAATGAAAATACCTCTGACAATGCTTCGGTTCAGGTTGCTCAATTCAACAACACTGATGGTAATATTCTTACAGAGGAAGAGGTCGTGGAGGTTTTACAAGAGGAAGAGGTGGTAGGTTTGGAGGACGAAACCCTATCATATGCCAAGTCTGTGGAAAAACAGGTCATCATGCACTCATCTGCTATCATCGCTACAATCCTTCTTACGCTGCCTCCAATTCTTCACCCTCTAATTCCTGGAATTCATATTCAGCTCATCCACAGTTCTCTAATCCTTTTCTGCAAAGACCTCCTTCCAATTATCCATCATCTACTGCACAACAACAGTTTAACTGGGATCAGACACCACAACACTCTTATAATCCATCATCCACTGCTGCACAACATCATCTGATAGGGACATGGACTTCCAATAATAATAATAGTAGATTTATACTAAGGGGTGTGATATTGTATAAATAAAGGTTTTGGGCTAGGTACTGTTAGCTTGGACCGGCCCATTAGGGAATTTTATTATAAATAGGAGTGGAGTAGAATAAGAGGGGGGCAGAAATTTGGGATCTGGGATTAGGCTTGGGAGTGGGAGACGACTCGAACAGTCTCAACAGTATTCGTTCTTCTCTATTTTTCTGTCTACGCCATTGTAATCCAGTTCAATCTCTGAAATCTTCATCAATAATATTCTATTTTTCTACTGTGATATTCTATCATTGGTATCAAAGCAGTAGGCCCTGGGAAGCTTCGATTGACATTCACGCAACAAAAAAAATATGGAGAATCGCACTTCTAGTTTGCGCGCAAATCTGGAGAATAGCACCTGGACGAAGATGGAAACGATGCTGGACGAGATGATACACCATTTGCGTAAACAGCGTCGCAGGAGAATTAGAGGCCGAGCGAGGAGTCCTCCTAGACGCCGTCGGCCAACTGAAAATCAGGTTTCTTCGACCGTTGCTCTTCCTAGTTCGAAATCACGAACTGCTTCGCGTAGTTCGCAGGCATCATTGGGTGCACAGGTCTCTTCTCAGTCGCGAGCACTTCCTTCCAGTTGTCTGGCTTCTTCGCTAACTTCGTCTTACAGTTCAAAATCACGATTTTCATCATCTGTCAGCAGTTCACGACCAAGTACGACGTTATCCAGAGAAGTTTCCCGTTCGCTGATGTCATCGCAAACTGCTTCAGCTTCGTCGCCCACAGTAGTTTCCAGTTCTCAGGGGTTTATGCAAGCAACTTCTCCTAATTCGTCAAATTTATGGCAATCTGAAGTCACCAGTTCTCAACTTGCGCAAGTTTCTCCGGAATTGAAAACTGAGTTGAAGCTGGCTGCACCAACACCTTCAGAACAGAACAAAATTGACATTCTTCCAACGCCAGCAGTTTATGTCAATTCGCCTCCAAGTGTGAAGCAATCAACAGGAGATGTTCTCAGTTCGCAGATAACAGACAACAAAAGCGAGATATACATGAACCAAGGACCTAGTCGAGTCAGGAGAGAGGTTGAGTTGCCGCTATTCAATGGCAAGTACGGCTCTTGTAGATCTTCAGAGCCAAGGCTTCTGTCGGATGGTTTTCCTAGTGACCCTGGCAAAAATGGAGGACAAGCAGAACGTCTGGCATCAGAAGTGCCTCAAGTTTCTATCCATGATGTTCGGTATGTTGCTGCCAAAATGATAGGAAATTTCCAGAGTTCTGTTATTTCTCTTGCTCTCATACCTCTTGCTCTCAAATCTTGTTCTCAAAATTCATTCCTGGAAAATATAGGGATGAGGTTAGGAACTCTTTAAGAGTACTTTCTGAGAGAGATAAGTGGCAATGGGATGAAAATGTTACTAATATCAGGATTAACCTAGTTTATAATCATGAAGTAGATGCTGAACGGGCAGTAACGGACGAGTCTCTTGTGAAAGGTGAAGTAAAGGTGGGATCTCAGCACCTATGTATGGAATCTCTTGGAGTGCAAATGCTGAAATTTCAGAAATCATGTATTTCCTTGGGCAGATCCCCTTTGAGCTCGGATACATCACCGATCTCGTGGAGAGGAGAGAAACATTTTCTGAAGGGTCAAACTCAAGATGATTGCCTGCCAGTGATTCCTCCCTTTGATGCTCTGGAAGTTTTAGAGCAACCTGAAGGAATAATCCTCCAAGCGGATGGCCGCAGTATGATGCAGGAATTACGTGGATGGCGTGAAAATCCTAAGGTGAAGAACATAAAGATGAAGGGTCAAGTACTGAAGCTCCTCGCTCTGAAATCAGTGAGATACCGGGAAGGTAGAGGCGCCAGGATGAAGATGAATTTGAAGATCAAGGTTGTTTCCTATCACCCACCTTGAGGACAAGGTGGTTTTTCAAGGGGGGAGATATGATAGGGACATGGACTTCCAATAATAATAATAGTAGATTTATACTAAGGGGTGTGATATTGTATAAATAAGGGTTTTGGGCTAGGTACTGTTAGCTTGGGCCGGCCCATTAGGGAATTTTATTATAAATAGGAGTGGAGTAGAATAAGAGGGGGGCAGAAATTTGGGATCTGGGATTAGGCTTGGGAGTGGGAGACGACTCGAACAGTCTCAACAGTATCCGTTCTTCTCTATTTTTCTGTCTACGCCATTGTAATCCAGTTCAATCTCTGAAATCTTCATCAATAATATTCTATTTTTCTACTGTGATATTCTGGTTTCTATCATCATCCTACTGCTGCTTGGGCCTGTGCAAACACATCTAAATTGAAATTCTCAATTTCGTGATCACTCAATTTTGTTCTCTTCTTTTACCCATTGCAATGTCTCACAAAAGTTTTTCCGAATCCTGTTTGAATCCTAATCTTTCCATAAAAACCATTGGTCATACCTATTGGGTGTATTTTGTATGTACAGAACAATTCTGACGACAATTGGCACAATGGCAAGTTGGTCCTTTGTTCGCTGTTTCACCGCCAGTTTGATCCTTGGAACACCCTCTTCGCACAATCAAGTAAAGAGTTGCACATAATGACCCTCCCCATACCCCTGTGAAGTTGAAAATCCGTCTCACACTCAGGTACGTCATTATACCATACATTTGGTTTCCCGTTCAAAAAGAAAAATGAACAGAGCCACTAAAAGCTAGATAAAGAAGCAAAAAAGTGTTGCCACTCAATAGGATCCAAATGACACGGCATAAGGAATTAAAGTCAATAAAAAGCTCTAGAATTCTAGAAGACAGTTCTTCAAACATTAAGCAATTCAATCCTTGTCCCAAGCCCCTACCTAATCTTTAGGTTCTTCTCAAAGTAAACATAATTATACTGTTTTTTTCCGAGTGCATTCTCCCAATTCGAATTCCTAAAGGTGTCAAGTGTCAACTCATCAATCATGTACAAATACCCTATCTTTAAATATACATCCTACTAAAAATGTTGAAACTCATAGTACTTTTACTTCTAGGACTTCTAATTTGTTTGTTCCCAGACCTATTCACGGAGAAATGGGTGACCTGAATAGGCGGCGGTTGTAGTGCTAGAAGAGATGAAATCTCACAGAAAGAGCGGTGCATGTGATGTACTGATGTGGTTGACCTACTAGCAAATTCATAGCAGCTCACTGTCTCAGGAAAAAAGGGAAAAAGCAGCTCAATAGCCTCGGTGCCTCACTCCAAGCAGATAGTGGACCATAATATCAGAAGCACAAGGGTTTACCATTTATGAGGACATCATTTTTTTAGGATGAGGTTTGGAGCAGTATAGCTTCACAACAAATCAATACCAGAACAAAATATTGAAACTAACCCGCAACTCCATCATGTAAGCCTCAAAATATCCACGAAGCTATCATCAACTTGCACTTTAATCACATATTAAGGGGTGCCTATTTTGGATGAGGAACAGCTGAATGGGACTCTTTGGGTATCTTATTGATCAATAACACCATACAAAAGAAGTGTCTTTTCAAATTCCACTTGGAAACTAACTCCTTGTGAGTGGGCATAAACTCATTTTTATGAGCTCTCCTGGCAAGTAGGAACTACTACAAGTGTCCAATTTGATATTAACAATTATGACACAAGGTTGCTACTGAATGAGGAGTTGCACATTCACTATGCTAAAACCTCTTTAAATACGTACTCAACAACATGCACAGGCGCACAGCAAGAGATACCATCACTCTTGAGACACGGACACCACACTCCACAGCTAAGAATTAGGACTTACATTTACAAAATTCGATTTTAGTTAAAAATCAACTTTCTCGTTTAATTCAGCAATGCCAATACTCTATGCAAATGCCCAAAATAAAGACCATCTCTTGACATGCCTACACCATAAAACTCTTAAATTAAATGTTTAACCAGTATCAAATATGCCGAGCATCCCTTAGACTGAAGTCACTGAACCATTAAATATACCATATCTAACTGAAGATACAATGGATCAATTTTCTCAATGACCACATAGAAACCAATTTCTCGATTTTTAAAAAATGCAAAATAAAAGGAAATGAAAAGTACCTGATTGAAATTGTTCTCAAGAAGATGGGCAACAATGAGAGTAGTGACTTGACGGTGCAGCTTTCCGTCCAGAAATGTTTCGTCCATGCCACCGCCATTTTTTATATTGCCACTATCCATTTTCTGCAATACACACACAAAGAAAATATTTTCGAGGAGCACAGCAGCAAAATGTTGATTCCTCACAAGTATGTTCTCCTGATTATATTGGGGAAAATATTCTCGGCAAATACAAAAGCTTGTCCACTCCTGGGCTATTATTCAATTCAAACGCAATTTCTAAAGCTAACTGGTTAATTTGTGACTGTGCTCCAGTCCAACGAAATTCAGTGATTTCACGCTTTAACTCGGAATTCAGAACTCGGGTTAGTGCTTGGACTGTAGTCGTGTGAGAACTAGTTCTATGAACATAATCAGCGGACTCAGCTAGGCTTGATATACTTGACAGTTTTGTTACTCTATAACCCAACCACACTAATAAAATTTGGGCTTCACCGTAATTCTATTTTGACATTTAGCAAAAGTTGAAAATATCCAATAGGAAATGATCCCGTCCCGCGGGAGGGACAAGATGTGCCTTTAGACCGCGGTCAGTTGAGGTGGTTTCCAATGAATTTTTTTGACCATGTTTTTCGTCAAGTCTAGTTTATTTATAAAATATTTCAGTTTAAAATTCAATGAAGAAGGATGTTAAATAACTTTTTGAAGAAAACTGCGCCAATATATATATATATATATAACATAATTATTTTCAAAATTTTATTTGACAACCTTCCCGATTGACTTCTTAGCTCAAAGTTTTTGTGGGCAAACTAGAATTGATGAGCAACATGCTCAAAAAGTTTCATCAAACAATTCCACCGAAACCCCCCAAACGGCGGCGGACAGAAAAAGCATCATGTCCCTCGGTCCCTCCGACTGGACAAGATCTTTTCCGTATCCAATAGTACAAATGAAGTAAGTATGTGGAGAACTGATTTGATCAGGCGCGACTGACTAGACCCGCCGTGCGGACTTGCTTGTTTGAATGCCTTCCGCCCTTCCCGGTGAATTTTTTTGATGAAATGTTTTGAACATGTTCCTTATGAATCTAGTTTACGCAAATCAAATTTCAGTTCAAAATTCATTAGGAAAAACGTTATATAAATTCTTGAAACATATTGCGCTTATGTACATAATGCGCAGTATGTTTCAAGAAATTATTTAACTATCTTCCCGATTGAATTTTGAGCTAAAATTTGGTATGAATAAACTAGTTTTGATGTGGCACTCAAATGGCCAAGTCCGAATGGCGCTTACCTATTGTAAATAGATAAAGTTCTCTCATACCATCCCATATATGAGCAATTATTATTATTTTACATTGATTTAAGACATCTAGAGTTGTAGACTTAACAGGTTAAGTGTCTTAAACGTTTTTTTCTTAAAATATTCGAACTCACAATCAACCTTTTTGAGGTCATGTATTATACATTATTTAGACTATATTTACTAATTTGAGGGAAAGAAGCTTCGAGGGAGAAGAGGGGAGGAGTAGGGGAGGTCATAGAACTCTTCATATCGTTTTAGACTTGCAAATTTGAAAAGAGAGATATGAATGGTCTATATATTCTATACACTACTTCACCCTCCCCATTATTGAAATGATATTTTCATTTCATTCTATGTTTGATTGCACATTTGTACTATTATACATGATGTTTGTTAGAATGTTTTTACTTGGACTGTAATTTGTTGGTCTGGTCTGGTCTGATATGGTCTAGTCTGGTCTGTACTGGTCTGATTTCTTTGCATTTTTATAACTATCCAAGTCCGATCTGGTCTGGGACGAATTATAGTCCAAGTAAAAACATCCTTATTCTATTTCTTACGGAGTATATGTTTTCCTTAAATATTATTCGAATGTAACTTATGGACAAACATGTTACTAAAATTACTATTAAGTCTACCATATGATGATAATGTTGTCATTTAACAGAGTTAATTATTTTTTAAAATAGAAGTGAAATATTTGAGCTAAGCTTAGCGGTTTTGAATTACAACAAACCACACCATTATTTTGGAAATAACAATAATGATGAAGGTCCGTCAGAAAATGCATTGAGCGAACAGACTATTCTGAAACAAATGTTGAAAATTCGGACAATGAAAGAGCTAGACAGGAAAAAAGGGTTTCATATAGAATTGGAGTAGAGTCAGGACTCAGGATGACAGTCAGCTTCAATCATCAAGGACACAGTAAATGGCAAATCAAGGAAGAGAGCTGGAGAAGATAACAACAACAAACTTCAAAATGTATGTTCTTTGCCAGACTCTCCAATCTTCTTCACTTTTTCCTTCTGAGTAATAAGCTATCATAATTGCAGCGGAACCTGGTTCTGCAGACAGGAGTTTTATGAACAAATGGGTTAAGACAATTACATTGGCTGACCCACCATAACTCCGGATACAAAAGGATGAGCCGTAACACAATTCCAGATAGGGGTCACTCGAATGACCTGCTAAGATAAACCATTAAACCTTAATAGCTCTTCCAAACAAAAGCATCAAGTACAACTACTCACCCTATCAACAAGCATATTAACAATTTCACAAGTAATTACCCTCCTATCAAAAAGTCTACCTTTCAACTATATTACATGAAAAGGACTTTTCTAAAGCCTTTTAATAGGAGAAAATTATTTTTTAAGTGTTAAAGTACTAGTTAATGAGCTTTTTCCCGGAATAATGCTAATTAAATAAATAATTCCCAAAATACTGCTGGGTTAACCGTGGTTAAGAAAAGCCGCCACTTGAAGTGGCGGCTCTTCTCTTATAGTACAAAAGCCGTCACTCCAAGTGGCGGCTCTTCTCTTACGGCCCATTTTATACATATATAAAACGCAGTATGTTTCAAGAATTTGTTTAACTACCTTCCCGATTGAATTTTGAGCTGAACTTTGGTATGCATAAATTAGGCTTGATGAGGAACATGCTCAAAAAATTTCATAAAAAAATTTCACCGAAAACACCCTGTGATGGTGTTGTCCGCGGGGGTTCCGGTCAGGACGTCATGACAAAAGGGTGGTCCGGCCACCTCAATTTGAGGTGGTTCCCGGTGGTATGTTTTGATGAAACTTTTTGTGTATGTTCTTCATAAAGTCTAGTTCATTCATACTAAATTTGAGAAAAACATTCAATCCGAAAGGTCGTCAAATGCTTTTTGAAAGATAACTATGCCGGATTATACATATAAAACGCAGTTATCTTTAAAAAATCATTTGACTGCTTTCCCGATTGAAATTAGTTCTGAAATTTGGTATGGATTAACTAGTTTTGATGAATAACATACACACAAAAAATCAGCAAAACATCCCACCGGAAACCACCTCAAATTGAGGTGGCCAAACCACCCTTTTGTCATGACGTCCTGACCGGAACCCCCCGCGTACAACACCATCAGAGGGTGTTTTCGGTGAAATTTTTTGATGAAATTTTTTGAGCATGTTTCTCATCAAGTCTAGTTTATGCATACCAAATTTCAGCTCAAATTTCAATCGGGAAGGCAGTTAAACAAATTTTGAAACATACTGCGTTTTATATATGTACAAAATGGGCCGTAAGAGAAAAACCGCCACTTGGAGTGGCGGCTTTTGTACTATAAGAGAAGAGCTGCCACTTCAAGTGGCGGCTTTTATTAACCACGGTTAACCCGGCAGTATTTTGGGAATTATTTTAAACCCAACAATATTTTGGGAATTATTTATTTAATTAGCATTATCCCAGGAAAAAACTCCTAGTTAATAATAGGTGAATAAATGTGCCAAATGTTATTATCGAAGGGAGTTTTATTAGAGTAAAACAAGGAGATTATTAGTGTTAGTGTCATTTTTATTCTATCTTAAGCATGTGCATCGGTGCATGAACAACCAAATACATTATGTTCTATAATTCTCAAGGAAGGAGTAGAGTTGAAACACCGCAAACAACTTAGTAGTTCTATTACCTTGAGTTGGTCGTGATTGATCACAAACACAATACACCTTTTAAAGTACTCCGTATTTCTTTGAAAACAATTCTTCCTCTTAAACTCAAATATGATGTTTTCAAATAGGAAAATTTTGAATTTCTCATTGAGAACCAATACAACCCACCAAATGGTCCAGACAGTTGTTCATTTTCCAGAACAATCAAAGTTAGAGTTGTGCATATATGGACATTGCATGTTTTTATCTCATTTTATTCACACTCAACATCTCTAACTCAAGTAATTGTATTATTATTCACACAGTGTACCACCCTCTAAGATACCAAGCAAGGATTTCATTCTTTAATCCTTAAGGTGGTGTATTATTTATATTCTTTATCTCATACACTACACGTTGCAAGGGTAAACGATAGATTACTAAAATCCTTGTAAAAACGGTTGAGGATAGCCAAAAAACAATTAGAGTAAGCAGTTGAGGATAGCCAAAAAACATTTAGAGTAAGCAGTTGAGGATAACCCGTAAATCGTTGAATCCTATTCACAAGGATTGTTTGCCAAATGTTGTTTGTGGGGCCTCATCGTGAATCCAGAGCAAAAAGAACCAGTGGATGCCAAAATATTGAAAGAGAGTCTTTGGGCAGTGGGGTAGGATTATCTAACCACTCCAAAATACTGTATCATTTACTCTTCCAGCTTTTACTTTACTCCGCATTGCTTTTTACTCTCGCTGTTTTTTACTTCACACGAGATAGACAGATTTTTATCGCACCTAATTCAACCCTCTTAAGGTGCACATCAACTTCCACTACATATTAAGAATCCTAGTTGCTTTAAGGATGCTTATTTGCTTACCATTCATGTGATTCTTTGTCTAGAAAAGAAGACATCATTCTCCTGCCTTTGATGCTGCACTTGCTGAAGCCGTGAGGACAACTGAAGCAAATTGATGGTGGGGCCACCATCTTCACCACAAAATTGACTCTTCTCATCCACATATTCTGAAGCTTGATGATCAATCCTGTTGGAAAACAACATCTGTTCCAGGCGAGCCTCGTCAGAAGAATTAATTCCAGGTGAATTCAAAGTGCTTGACAACCCACTTGTGGAGGCAGGTGGGCTAGCCCCTAAATGATTTTTGGACACACGTGCCATGTTGCTGTAAAGAGGCGATGCATTAGTTCCGGGACTAATCAGGTGGTGGTGAGATATGGAAACCATAGATGAATGGTTGGAAGAAGTCTGTGACTGAGGTGACAGAAGAGAGAGAGCACGGTCGGAACATGACATCCCTGACAGGCTCTGGATGGTTGATGATGTGTTAAAAGTATTGAAAGCTTCACTGCCCCCTGAACTGCTATCAAAAAGACTTTGGGAAGTCAAATTTGGGGCATCCATGTGATGCGGATATGAGTTACTATGTGAAGGGCAGTGTTTGTTTGGATGATTATACGAAGGGAAAAGAGATCTTGGCTGTGATTGCCCATTAGCTAATGGAATAGGTACTAGTTGAGGGCTAAAGTTGATCCCATCCACAGCTTTAACATTTGTATACCACTCCTCATTTGTCTCGTATTTTGGTGAACGGGGAAGGCTGCTGGGAAGTATGTCTTGGCAGACAAAAGATGATGTGGCAAAATTAGTCCCCTCAAAACAGGCACCTGCTTGTAAAATGGAAAGCACAGTAAAAAATGACATGTTAATATTTTAATCATTTACCAAAGAAAAAAGAAATGATGCATCCATTTCCGTGAAAAATGAAATGTTTTAATATTTGACCTTCTTTGTCCTTTATCTTTTGTCACAAACTAAAACTTTTTAGAGTTAACATGATTTCCTCACCACACCTTGGAGACAGTGAAATGAGTAAGAAATGATGCCGTAGTGGGACTCTTTGAAGTTCTAAAATTCAACTGTATCAAGCACTACCCTCCCTTAGCATGATAACAATGTAACTTAACCCTTGACACTTCTGATTTTATCCCATTGTTCAATTCAATTTAAGACAACCCCAAAATCTTTTGGGACTAAGGCTTGGATCATTGGATGTTGTTGTTGATGTTCAACTCAATTTAACTTAAGCGTCCATGGACAGATTTGTCGTAAACATGGTTTTACATTTCAAAACCCCGAGAAGGAAGGATGATTTTATACCTGAATACGACTGGAAATGCCTCCCTGCGGTGCTGCCAGGGTTCAGACCAGCACGAGGCTTTCTCCTACGCTCATTATGACCAGCTAAACGTTTGCGGCAACTACGCTTACCATCATCAAATTCAGCCAATAAATGGAACCTGAAAATATCAGAAGCATATAAAACCTGGTTAAGCATATAAGTTTCCTACTACATGAATTATAAACTAGGCTGGGTTGCAAATTGATTTTGACGAACACAAGAGCGGTAAAGAGTCAAACCACTGTTCGTTTGAGTTTCACATCGAATAAGTAGTGAATTTTATCACTAATTAACATCAGGATTTGAGTGGTGGACATATAAAATAAATTGACCCCAAACGGGTAACTCTAAACCATGAGTTCTAAAATAATATAGATTCTCATATCATATTAGATATATGCTTAACTCATTCTAACAGGATACTTAAGACGTGAGGTGTACATCACACTTATTATTTATTACATATATATCTGGTAAACATTTATGTGGGATACTTAGCAATGCAGTCAAAGGAATTCATACTTGAGATTGCTTATATAGGTGATTTTTAAGCACAGGGTTGGTAACAGGAAACCAACCTGCTACATTGCTGACAAAACCGTTGTTCAATGCCATTTACAATAACCTTAGAAGTCTTAGTGTGAGCCTCACACACTCTATGCCTCTTGTGGTAGTCCTTGGAGTTGCTGAGATCTTTGTCACAACCAAGAACCTGGCATAGCGGGCTCTGACAATTCTGCTGCCCTCCACCTCGCATTCTCTTAACGGGAGTAGTCGATAGAGCTGAGGACGAAGCAGTGAGGTGGTTCCCCTTTTGAGAATTGGTAATATTTGCATCCCTCTTTTGATTACCAACGCCCCCAAGCTGCAAGTCAATCAGTGATGTATCTCTAGACCCCGAAAATGCATCATGGGAAGCTGCTAAAACTGTTCCATCAATATCCCTACTAACGGAGTCATCATTACCCATAGATTTTGCACTGAAATCTTGAGGACCCACTTCATCAAAGCATTCTTGATCCGAACAGGCTATAGTTCCTCCAATGCTACATGGGGCCTTAAATTCCCAACTCATTGACCCATTCTGACTTCTTCCAACGCCATCAGCTTCAGAAACAGATTTGTCACACACAAACCCCTTCCCTCCAGAGGTATATCCCCAAGAATCCATCTTTATTAAAAAATAGGGTTCTAACTCACCGACCAATACCCAAGTTCCAATCGAACTAATTCACCCGATGTCCAGCTTGAATCGCCAACTTCATAGTTGCCAATAGCCAAACCTGTGGAGAATGTCTGACCCTATGCACACCACAGAGCTTGAAGTTCTACCAGAAAAGATGAAAAAAGCTTTAAATTTTTCATTTTTCTGGAAGCCGATGTAAACAAAGGCTGAATTGACATCCAGAGTAAGAGAGAGGAAAAGAGCTCTAAAGAAGACAGACCAGAATAGTGAGCGAATACTTGAATAATTGAATTATTGCCAACAATGACTCAGCCAAGCAAAAGTAGACAGTTAAAATATGTGCTTCCTTAGTGGAAGCATGGCACTTGTACCATGGAAAAGCACACCATATTCGAGTGAACAGCAAAAAAAGCGGTCCAGTTTATAAAAATACAAACTAGAAACTGAAAGCTGCCTGCCAAGTAAGTGCGAGAGGGAAGAGAGAAAGAGGGCCGCACTACCAGAACTGTAAAAGTTGGGTGATGAAGTTGATTGAGTTTGAGAAACAAATCTGGTTCTGGAATATTGATTGGGTTCCAAGCTCCGTAGAAGAGTCTACGCTTCTTCACACACTGGAAAGGGAAGCACCCCAATTCCACACTTTGGTTAACAGAGTCTAATTCCCTGTTATAATGAGATCTTGAATTTTTTTACTTTCTAGAAGTAGTGGTCCTGCAAAGTTCGTATTACAACACGCATTTGACGTGTGTTGGGATAGCCTTTTGAGGATTTTCCCTAGCTTTAAGGGTTATAAGTCTCAATTTCAGCTCAAGTTACGATTACCGGACGTTGGTACGATGTTGGTATCATTCGAAGTCAAAATCAGGGGATTTGAGCCCGTACCGACGCATGAGAAGCATTTGAGATAAATTGATGAGCATTCGAGGAAGATTTGAGAGATTTGAAGATCACCAGGAGTTTCGTGACGAAGAATTGATAAAGAGAAGAACTGTGGAATCGATTCGGGAGCGTTTGGACGAAGAAACGAAGAAAAACGATGAAGAAAAGGTCACGCACGGTCGTGCCCAGCATTCAGGCACGCCGTGCGTGCCTATGAGATGATCTGGCGAAGATTGAAGCCATACACGCCGTGTGTATTGAGGACGCACGCCGTGCGTGCATGGCAGAGAGCTCCAGGATGCGGAACGAGATCACGCACGTCGTGCTTGCTGAGGATGCACGTTGTGCATGCACAAGGACCGAAGCGAAGAACTCACCGGAGGGTACGCACGCCGTGCATGGCAGGGACGCACGCCGATCGTAGGCGCGAGACGCGCGTTTGCTCCGGACGCACGGACGCCACGCATGCCGTGCGTGGGTCCGAAACCCTAATCCTGGCCGATTTTGGACTCTTTTTCTTTAAATAAGGCCTCTCCACTCCCATTTAGGGGTTACGAACATTACGGAGAGGCTTTGGGACGATTTTACCTGCGTTTTTACGTTGTTTTATTCGAGAACCCTGAGACTATTTGTAAGTTCATCTTTTAATTAATGACAATTATTTCTATTCTTCCCAATTCTATTGATTCTTCGATTATGAGTCGGGAGTAGTTTTAATTAGGGATTTGAGATTGATGGAGGGTTTAATCACAATGTATGGCTAGTTTCTTGATGGATTAATTGCATGAAAGTCGTTTAATTTGTGTTTGAATAATTTAACTGAAATCTTTTGTAACCTAGATTGTAACACCGTCCCCAAATGTATTTATCTTTAAGCGAATAATTTATTGAACCCTATGAGATTTTTAGTGAATTTACGAGGTTGTGAATTTGTATTAATTTTTTCGCGTGAATAGTAAAATGCACGTGGGGCCCACATCGGGAGTGGGGACCGCCCGATATTATCGGGACCACATATTATATTCGTCTGGGTCTAGAAAATATTTATAGATGGTGGATACTTCATTTGGGTCATGGAAAGGCCCAGAGTTGACCGATTGGTCAATAGAGGCCCAAATACCGGTATCGGCAAATTTATCAGATAACAGCCCAAAAAGGGGTTTCGGAGACTTCTAAATTAAGGTTGGGGAATGCATATTGATTCTAGGGTCCCATAAGGATTGGGAACAAGTGTTATATTTTATTTGACCCGATAAAATAAAATATACTTAAAACAGTCCGGAAAATACAACTTTCGGGACCGATTGTACACTTCTGGACAAAAAGGGTTGACCTCCCACATGGGTGGGGGCCAACCCACGAATTTAGCCACATTATTCAAGGCTTGAGTCGGCTAGTGGGTAAGGTGAGGTGGGAGAGGACTGATTTGAGATGTTTGGCATCAAAACAAATCATGGTGGCCCTCCTCTCTTTCACTCATTGCCCAAAAAGAGACAAAGGGGCATTCCTATCCATCCCCCTCCTCACTAGTTCGGACAGCATCAAGGGAAAGGGGGAAAGAACCTCTACAACTTCATCTTTCATAGCAAAATTCGAGCAGAGCTCAAACAAGAAAGTTGGGAGGAAGATAAAGAAGGAAAAAGCTAGGAAAAAGTGTGAAAATTAAGGTAATGACCCTATCATAACTTTTCCTTTGTTTTTCTTCTAGCATATAAGATATATATCATATGAAAGACCTTTAGTATTGTTCTACATGATTTAAGTGTGGAATAATGGGTTGGAAAGTGATTCTAAGTCCAAAAACGGACTTAGAAGCCAAATCGACCGGTTTGCCGGAAAATAACCTTTTATAGGTTATTTGTGTTGATATGGGTTTTGTGATGATAAAACCTTGTTAGGAACTTGATTTAAAGTATTTTGAGCTTCGCCGGAGTTTCGTCGGCGTTGGTCAAAGTTCGCCGGAGTTGGTCAAAGTTCACCGGAGTTGGTCAAAGTTCGCCGGAGTTGGTCAAAGTTCAATCGAGGAACGTAGAACGCGCTTAAGCTTAATTAAGGTGAGGATGACCGACTATGTTGCTTATAATATTTGGGTTAATTTCATGGGATTCCCTAAGTGAATACAAATGTGATGTGCATGGGTTGTTAATGGTTAATAATGCCTAAATAAAACTATTATTGATTATAAGTATAGTATGTATGATATACAAAATTTATGAATAAATTGTGTATGTCTAGATGTTATGAATGTGAGTGTATGATGGTTGTACCAACCATGAATTTCATTTGAGATAGTATACTTTGATACCATGAGGAGAAGTTATGAAGGTATAAAAGTGATACTTGATATTAAGGTCAATCATGCATGAAGGAAGAATTATATTAAAATAAATAAATAACTAGCATTGAAATATTAGTTGGAAATGTTAGTTGAGAAATGGATGAATTAGATCCTAAGAATTTGAATTATAAAGAATCGGTGATTTTGAGCCGAGCTCGAGACCGATGTAGATAACGGTGATTATGAGCTGGGCTCTAGACCGTGGTAGATGACGGTGATTATGAGCTGGGCTCTAGACCGTGGTAGATGACGGTGATTATGAGCGGGGCTCTAGACCGTAGTAGATAACGGTGATTATGAGCTGGGCTCTAGACCGTAGTAAATAATGATGAATTGATACTAAATGAACGGATTAACTATAACGTAACAATGTTCTGGATTGAGGGCCTCAGAGATTCAAACTTCGATTATACTTAGTATAGTTGTCATTGTAATTGTCAAATTCTTCCAAGTACTGACCTCCCCTTCACGGGGGAGGCCACCTCACAGTTTCAGGTAGAACTTGAAGGTTGCTACCACCAGCCGCTGTTTCGGGAAGTTTCAGAGAAGAAGACTTGGTTCGTGCTTCTTCCGTTCTGATTTCAAAACAATTATAATAACGCTCATGGATGTTATTTGAATAACTATTTGGGGCTTGCATGCCCATGTTTGCCGAAGTGTGGCTAAGACACTTTTATTAAATGCTTCCGCTGTTTTAAATGAATGATTTACATTATGTTTTTTTATGGATGTACTATGTGTGAATGATATTCATGACGCCTTGTATAGTATGGATGAGTTGGACTGCGGTTGACTATTCGTACTGTGCGGCGGATTGTTGACGTGTCCGGCTAGGTCCGGGGCGTGACAATTTAATTGGTATCAGAGACTTAGTCCGTAAACATCATAATGAAGCTTCAAAATTTCTTTTTGAAAATGAATTTGAAAACCATGAGCATAAGTTTTGTACTTATAGAACTTTTGGTACTTGAGTTGCAATGCCTCTAATTGTTAAGATGGTACCCTTAACAATTGGTATGGCGGTGATTTGAGCCAAAGGATGTCTTTAAGTACCTATCCGTCAATTGACATTCGATGCGAGTCTAATGACTCATTCTAATTTCTTTCAGAAATGGAACCCGTTGGAAGGATCACTAGAAGGAACCCGTTGGGCCGTGCACCGGGTGGGTCCGAGCGCGGTAGCCGGGGGTCCTCTAGGGGATCAAGAGGATGGGGCCGTGGAGGCCAACGTCAAACCGTGAGCGATGGCCACGTCGATACCGAAAGTGAGACCTATTGGTCCTATGAGGACTCAACCTACCAGCCGGGGACTGAGCCAGTTGAGACCCCTTACGAAGGGGATGATGATGATGTGAGTGATGAGGAGGAAAGTGGCTCCTTGGCCAGGATCGAAGCGTTGCTCCAACAGTATCATCGGGAGCGCGAAGAAAGGAGGTGATGGATAGTCTACCCGGGGGTATATATCCGAAGGGTTATTACGGGGAATAACTTAGAGAGAAGTCAGAGCAAGTAAGTAAAAGTAGAGAGCGAGTGTATTCAGTATGAATGCCGTTTTCAGCGTGGTTACAAATGAGGAAATGGGGTGCTATTTATAGTAGCAATAAATGCCGGGCAGGGACACGTGTCAAGCGCTCATTGGCCGAGGGGTCACCTCAACTGGTTGGCGCTGGCAGCCGCATGTGGCCGCATTTAATGCGGCTGTTGGATGGGACGTCTATGCAGGGTACGGTGATCTGTACGCATGTGAGGCGGATATCTTGTCGAGTGAGATGCCTTCGGCTATAGAGCAGTAGCCGAGTGCTCTTCCACCCGATGGCACCCTGGTGCCGAGGGCTCACAATGCCGAGGGCTACTGTTTTCGCCGTTTTCTCCCAGTTTCTTAATCTGCTTGAGAAACCCATTCTGTGAGAATTTGGAGCCTTCGGCCAGGGGGCCGAAGGCACCCCTGGCGCGTAGTGCGGACTGCTTGGTACTCTGGGCGCTGTGATTTGGGCCTGTTGGGCCTTTTGGGCCTGTTGGGCCTTCGCTGGAGTAGTAGGAGTCTGTGGGCCGGGGGTTCCCGGGCCATATACTCCATCAGGAGTCCCTCACTCCTTTTTCCGAAAGGTACTTGAGGGAAAAGGAGTAATTTGTGCTTGCCCCTTGATGTTGTCCCGTCGTGATCTCTGAAGTTGGTGAGGAGTTGTTGCTTTTATGTCCCTGCCGAAGGCAGTCCCTCAGTTACCCACATGTCGGGACTTGAGGGCTTGCTCTGTTGTTTGTTGGAATTTCTACATCTTTTGTAATTTAATGATTTTCTCGAGGGGGTCCTCCAGTCCCCCACTCCTTGAGGCACTTGTAAAGTGGTGAAAAGGAGTAGAGTAGTTGCGTTGCTGTTGTGGGCCGAAGGCTGTCGTCTTTCGTTTCATTTTGGGGGGATGCCTCGTTAAAAACCTCATTAGGAAAAAACCCTTTGGGAAAAAATCCTGATGAGGAAAAAAGAGTGCACCGAATTCCCCCAATGATGAATCGAAAATGTCAAACCTTGGTAAAAAATGGAGAATGACGGGAATGCCGAAGGCTCTCTCTTCTGAGGGCTCCTGTGTTGATTAGCCGAAGGCTTGCTGTTGATGTCCTGGTGGCGCCGAAGGGGAGCCCCTCCATTCGGGGATCGAGGGCCTGCTGGATGAGGGCGGTAATGGAGTTGTTACCGGGGGGTCCACTGCTTGTTGATTAGTTGGTGGTGAAGATACCCGAGGGCTCCCATTACCTGGGTGCCATGGGTCATCCGTCAATGAGGCAACTCCCCGGGGGCTACCCCGGTTTTGCAGTGCTGAGGGGGAATCCCCGAGGGGTGCCCTGATATGAAGCCCTGGGTTTCTGAAGGAGTGATCCCGAAGGCGTCTGTTATGTGCTGTGTGGGGCACAACCCGGGGGCACTTCTGAGTGAGTGTACCCGGAGGCTATCCTTGATGAAGTGGAGTGAAGTAGAAAACCCGGGGGATTCCAGAATATAGCCGTTGGAAATATAGCCGTTGGAATATGTAACGACAGGATATAGCCGTTGGGGGGGTGGCACACGTGGCGTGTGATGGTTGGCTGTTCGCGGGCGGCGTCACCGGTTGGGTGAAACGACGGTGTGTAATGATGACGGTCCGTCCGGAGGCCCGGTTTCCGGGCCCAAGCCCGGATTCCAGCGCCTATAAATACCCCAAGGCCAGAGCCATTTCCCCTTGTGCGATCATTTGTCTTAGCGAAGCTCTGCCCAAAATTCTAGTGAGAGAAACTCAGGCCTTCGGTCACAACTTCTGCTTTCAAGGTCAGTGCCCGCTTTCCCTTCACCTCTTAGCTACCTGTACTGTGCCCTTAGGTTAGGAGATAGAAAATTTAGAAAACACTAGCGTCTACGAGCCTTCGAACTAGAGTCAGCATGTCGTCCCAGAGTGATTCCCAGGATATCTCGGGGGAGCCTTCGGTAGAGATGGAGACATGCTCAGATGTGGAGTCTTCGAGTGTGGAGTCCTCGGTAGGTGGTGATGCCGCAGTGGCCATGGAAGTGGAGAAGGACCTCCAGGCCGAAGTCGAAGCCGAGGGCTTCGAGCAAGAAAACGAGGATGAAGAGCTTGCCCTCGCCGTGCAAACCGCCGAGCAGGAAGAGGAGAGGGAGAGGCTGAAGGTGACGGTTGCCATTCCTCCCCCCGGGGTGCCGGGGAAGCCAGCTCCTCCCGGCCATTGGACCCGACGCCCATAAGTGTGGCTCCCGGGAAGAAACACAAGACGAAGGCGGCCCCGAGGAAGAAGCAAGCGGCAGTGGATGCCGGGCGGCCGGTGGGCATACCCGAGGGCCATTCGTTCTTGAATACTGCCGCTCTAAAGCTGAAGACGAAGGCGTCCCCGGCAGAATACCAGTCCACCCAGATGCTGGTTGGACCTTCGGCGCGCGTGGTGGAGCCCAGGGCGGATGATTTGTTGCGATACGCGCCCGAGGGGTGCTTTGCTGCTCACACCCTCTCGGTGGAGATGGGGCTCCGGTTCCCGCTCCATCCTTTTCTCTTGGAGTATCTGAGATTTGTGGGGTTGGCCCCTTGCCAGCTAACGCCCAACAGCCACTCCTATGTGGCCGGCTTCCTCTCCTTGTGTCAGAGCCGGGGGGTCGAGCCCACACTCGATCAATTCTTCATGTCCTTCAACCTTTGCCGGGGGGGACATTCAAATGCTGAGGGCTTTGCCAACCTTCAGCAGGTACCGGAGTTCTGGCTTTTTGATGATGTGCCCTCGTCTCACAAGGGGTGGAAAGAGAGGTTCTGCTATATCCGCCTCGAGGAGAATCCCTTCCCGGCCCAGCTCCGTAATAGCTTCCGGCGCCACCCGAAGGTGGGGAGCGCAGCTTTGGAGAAGAATGGCAAAGTGCTTGCCAAGAAGCCGGAGGGGTCTGACAAGCATGTCTAGATCAGAGAAGTCACCCTTCCGGAGGATTTGCTTAGCCTGGGCTTCCGGCAGTTCAGGCCGAGGGGCTCTTCGGATGAGAGATACCCTCCCCTCGATAGGGTCTTCGAAGGCGCCGGAGGTGATCACCGAATTGTTCACTGATGCGTTGATAGTTCTCTCTTATTCCGCTTTTTTTTATGACGTAGTAACTGGTAGCCTTCGATCTAACCCTCCTGTTTTTTTTGTTGCTTGCAGGTAACAATATGGAAGTTGGTTCCCTCTTCGCTTTGAAAAACGCGAAAGGAAAGAAGAAGGCCTCGGCGGGCGCTTCTGCCAGGGAGGGGCCCTCTCAAACTGCTGGCGCTGCTGCTGGCGCCGGAGGGTCCAAGGGTGCTGGGCCCGTCAAAAAGAAGATTGCTGGAAAGGGGACCGAGCCCCCGGCCAAGAAGCCGAAGACCACCGCCCCTACCAAACAACCGATCACCGATGTGGTGGTGATTGTGGACGAAGGGCACGCTTCTGCCTCCACCCCCCAGGAACAAATCAATCAGGAGTTCTTTGGGCGGGAGAGGTTGGAGGCGTTAGTACCGAAGGGGGCCTCCGTGTTGGAGGGCAGTTTGAACCCTTCGGCTCTGATGAGCCAGATGCTGCCGTCGGCCGACCGACTGGCCCTTGCCCGGCTGGACGAGGGATCCCTCGTGGCGAAGGTCCTCCTGAATGCTGCCTCCGTAAGTCACCCTCCCTTCTTTGCTCATTGTTATGTTTTCCTTCTGTACTATGTTCATTATGCCTTATCCTTGCCTTCGTGAATTGCAGACTTTTATGGGCCTCTGCGAGCACCTCCGAAGGGTGGATCAAATGAGGGAGGCCAAGGGTGCCGCCGAGGGGGAGGCCGCCCTCCTCAGGAAGAAGCTTGCTGAAGCCGAGGACTCTCTCCGGCTGGCCACCGACGGCATGGAGCAGAGGGTGCAGGCTGCAAGGGCCGAAGGGGTCAATGAGGGGCTAGCCAGGGCCGGGGAGGCCGCCGCCGAGGCCGCCCGTATTGCTGCCGATGAAGCCCGCACGGCTCAAGAAGAGGCCGTCTCCAAGGCCCGAGAGGATGCGGTGACCAGCTTCACGGCCGAAGGGTGGAAGGCCGAAGACCGGAGGGAGTGGCTCGCTTCGGTGGTGGGGGCTTCAGTAGACGAGTGGGTCGGGGCCCCTGGAAAGATGTGGCTTGCTGAGAGGGGCGACTCGTACTACCAAGGCGGGGAGTTCTTCACCCAACGCCTCATCTACCGGAAGCTTGCGAAGCACTTTCAGGTGGCACCGGAGGAGTTCCGTCCCGAGGTTTATGGCCTCCCCCCCCAGCCAGATGTCAGGATCCCGCTCCCCGAGGGGGAAGAGAGACCGGTTCTTGAAGACTCGGAGACCCTCCGGGAGTGCGGCCTTGGCGGTGAAGAGGATGAAGCCGAGAGCGAGGCGATATCTACAGTTTCCCCTTCTTAAATTGTATTCCCCCCTTTTGGTGTTGTAATTGTTGGCCTCGGCCCCCTTTGTAAAGCACAATCAAACTTCTCTTTATTTTTGAATGAATGAGTACATATGCCCTCGGGCCTTTGATATACAATCTGCTTCCTTTGGATTTGTTCATTGTCGAATACATGCCTTCGTCTTGCTTTGGATGTATGCCTTGATCCTTTGAATGTATGTTTTAGGATTTAGAATATTTTCTGATTGTAGCTTGCCCCTGGAAGCCTTCGGTAGTTGGGCACCCTCTGCTGGATATGCAACCGAGGGTTCTGCAGGAATTAGGACTTAGAAAATTTTTCTAAGTGTAGCACACCTTAGGGCCTTCGGGTGTTTGCAGTAACCCAATTCCTAGGACTTAGAAAAATTTCTAAGTGTAGATTTTCCCTTGGGAGCCTTCGGGTGTTTGCAGTAACCCAATTCCTAGGACTTAGAAAAATTTCTAAGTGTAGATTTTCCCTTGGGAGCCTTCGGGAGATGGTATCCCTTTATGATGTGTGAATATTGGACCGAGGGCCCAATGTACAGGACTTAGAAATTTTTGGCAAGCGTAGTATGTCACGTAGCCTTCGGCTACTGTGAAGCCCCAACTGGAATATTGATTAGGCCGGGGGCCAATTCTTTAGGCCTTAGAAAATTTTCTTCAGTGTAGTTTTTCCCTTGGGAGCCCCTTCTTTAGCCAATTCTTTAGGCCTTCGGCTACTGTGAAGCCCCTTCTTGATGTATGAGTAGTCGACCGGGGGAAAAATATGTAGGACTCAGAAAATATTCTAAGTGTAGATTTTCCCTTGGGAGCCTTCGGGAGATGGCATCCCTTCTTGATGTATAGCAGTTGACCGGGGGGGAAAATATGTAGGTCTTAGAAAATATTCTAAGTGTAGATTTTCCCTTGGGAGCCTTCGGGAGATGGCATCCCTTCTGATTCCACATCACTTTGCGAGGTGCCCGGGGGCTGCTCATTTAGGACAGAATATTTTTTAAGCGTTGTTGTATTGCCTGGCCTTCGGCTACCATATTCACTTGGCAGTAATATTGATTGGGCCGGGGGCCCAATCTTCAGGACTTAGAATTTTTTGCAAGTGTAAAGTGATATCAAGCTTCCGGATGTAGAGCCTTCGGGTGATGGGTGGCTTCTGACTCTACATTATTTTGCGAGATGCTCGGGGGCTGCTCATTCAGGACTTAGAATATTTTCTAAGCATACATTGATGTTGAATCCTGTTGTTGTGAAGAAAGTCAATGAGGAGTGTGTGCCCTCGGCATACACTTTAAAAGTTGTAGAATTTGACCCTTGTCATGGGGAAAGGGCCCTCGGTACTAGTGCGTGACAGATGCCTTTGGTATATGTTTGAAGGTACCGTCTTAGTGTACTTTGGATAGTCCAGTCCCTTTGTATTGTTGAAGCCTTCGGTGTTTGTGTGACCGGAGGTGACCAGGCAGTGGACTTAGCCGTTCCTTGCTGCTATTTGTTCGAGTAGTATCCTTCGGGAAATAGGAGCCTTCAGTTACCGGAGGTGTTCCCGTAGGGAGCCCTCGGCTTGTTGTGATCTGTTGGAGTGTACTCTTTGATTTCTCGCTGAGTCTACTCCCCTTCACCCCCCCTTTTTTTTTGGTTGGTGGTGAAGGGAAGGCATCAAGAAACTTGGTTTCTTGGTAAGGCTGGGCCTATTAGGAGACCATCAGAATACACCAATGACTCTCCTCCCTCGGGTTAACCTTCCGAGTTCCGAGGGGATCGAGGGACGTTTCCTGGGCACAAGATATGGTGGTCCGTAACCTGCCTCCCCTTGGGGGATGGCGCGGAAAGCGCCTCATTTTTGAAAGTCGTCCCCTCAGCGCTAGACATAGTCCGTGGCCTGCCACACCCTTGGGGCGGTGGCGCGGGGAGCGTTTCGGTTTGGAAGTCGAATCCTGGGCATTTCTCGTGCCTGTCACACCCTTGGGGTGATGACGCGGATAGCGTTCCGTTTTTGAAAGTCGAATCCTGGGCATTTCTCATGCCTGTCATACCCTGGGGGTAATGACGCGGAAAGCGTTTCAAAGAAGGGTTTTCATTTGCACACTAGTTGCAAATGGCCGGGGGCACTACGTGCCGCCGGCATCGATGGTGGCGCCTTCGGTATATGCGTCCTCGTGGGGTACGGCTTTTAGAAACAACACTTGGTGTTAGTTTCGATGTGTAGCCACCGGTACTTGGTACCGAGGGGTCTTCTGTAGGAACACTTGGTGTTCTCTTTTGTTGTAGTTGATGTAGGCGTCTACCCTCGGTACTTGGTACCGAAGGGGCTCCAAATGAAACACTTGGTGTTTCCCCACAGATGTTTGGAAGTTGATAGGAGAGCATATCCCTGGCACTGGGTGCCGAGGGGTCTTCTTTGAAACATTTGGTGTTTTTTCTTCGTTTCGATGTTTGATGATGGAGGTGTACCCTCGGTACTGGGTGCCGAAGGGTCTTCTATAGGAACACTTGGTGTTCTCATCTTTTTCTTTTTTGATGTTGAAGGGGGGATGTACCCTCGGCACTGGGTGCCGAAGGGAAATGAATTACATGGCGTTCTTTGTTGTTGGTGATAGGAGTTCCCTCCCTCGGTACTTGGTACCGAGGGGTCTTGAGAGAAAACATGTGGTGTTTTCACTGTTGTTGTAGGTGTTGATGGTGTCCGCCCTCGGCACTTGGTGCCGGAGGGGGTTCCTCTCGTGGTGAGGCCGGGGGCCTGTAGTCAGTATGAGGGCTTGATGTCTTGAATGTATCTTCATTCTTCGAAATTGGAGGCCTTGGGCCATAGGATACTACATTCACTGGTTATTAGGGCTTGGCCGCTCTTACATTATTGATAAAACTTAACTAAATGGTGTACATTCCAATGCCTAGGGACTTCTTTCCCGTTGGGGCGTTTGAGCTTGTAGGTCCCAGGTTTGATGATGGCTGCTATGATGTAGGGGCCTTCGAATTTTGGTGCCATTTTTCCTCCCTCGGTTGGTTGGCTGGCTTCCCTCCTCCGGAGGACATAGTCCCCCACTTGAAATTCTCAGGTGCGAACTTTGGCGTCGATGTAGCTTTTAACTTGCCTTCAGTAGTTTTCTGCCCGGATGAAGGCCTGCTCCCGGCGTTCTGAAATGAGGTGGAGGTCGAGGGCCATGTTGCTGTCGTTGACCTCGGGGTCATATTGGATCACCCTTCGGGTGGGAAGGGTGACTTCCGTAGGAGCTTTAGCTTCAAAACCGTAGCAGAGGGAGAAGGGTGTTTCACCTGTTGCTCGCCGAGGGGTGGTGCGATAGGCCCAAAGGATGTTGTGGAGTTCTTCCACCCAGCCACCGCCCTCGGCCTCTAGCTTCTTTTTGAGGCCCTCGAGCAAGGCCCGGTTGGCATTCTCTACTTGCCCGTTGCCTTGAGGGTAGGCAACGAGGGAGAAAGTGTGTTTGATGCCCCATGCCTCCAGAAGGGCACAGAAGGGGCTGCCTCAAATTGTGTCCCATTTTCGGAGATGATCTGCTGGGGGACGCCAAACCTTGTGAGGATGTTCTTGAGGACGAAGTGACGGCACTTCGCCTCTGTGATGCTGGCGAGGGGTTCAGCCTCTACCCACTTGGTAAAGTAGTCGACGGCCACGATGATGTATCTGTTGTTGGAGGTACCCCTCGGCAGAGGGCCCACAAGGTCTATCCCCCATCGAGAAAAGGGGACAGAGGTGCTGATGGGGGCATAGTTGACCGCTGGCCTGCCGGGAGTTTTCTGGAAATGTTGACATGCGGTGCACCTCCGGGCAAGGTCAGCACAATCCCTGGCCATGGTTGGCCAGAAGTAGCCCTGGAGAATGAGCCTTCGGGACATGGAGAAGGGTCCCTGGTGAGCTGAGCAAGTGCCACTGTGCACTTCCTCCATTGCGACCTCGACTTCATCTGGATGAAGGCACCGAAGTAGCGTGCCATTGTAAGATCGTTTGTAGAGCCTTCCATCTTCGATGGTGTAGCTGGGAGCCCTCAGCTTTGCTAGTTTAGCGCGGGCCTCATTTTCGGGTAGCTGCCCTGTGGAGATGAAGGCGGTGATATTTGAGATCCAATCCTCCTGACGTTGTTGTATGTTCATAACGGGGCTTGCATGGATGCTTGAGAGGCTGAGTTCCTTGATTTTGGCAATTTTGGAGATGTGCTCGGGGGAGTCGGCCGAGAGCTTAGATAATATGTCGGCCTCGGAGTTCTGAGCCCTCGGTATTTGAGTGAGAGAGTGTGCCTCAAATACCTTAAGCAACTCCTTGGCCGCTTCCTTGTACTGTTTCATTCTCCCCTCCTTGGCCTCATATTCTTCGGAGATTTGGCCAACGACCAACTTGGAGTCGCATTTGATGTGGATCTGCCGAGCCCTCATGTTGGCAGCCAGCCGAAGGCCACATAGGAGGGCCTCATATTCGGCCTCGTTGTTGGAGACTTTGAAGGAGAAGCGGATTGCATAATAGGCTCTGAAGCCCTCGGGAGTAATGAGGACCACCCCTCCCCCGCATGCTTTGGTCGCGGAAGAGCCGTCGGTGTAGAGGGTCCACCAGTCGTCCGAGGTAGCCGAGGGCTCCCCGTCCGTGGCTGCCCTTGCGGTACACTCCGTCACGAAGTCCGCCAGGGCTTGGCCTTTGATGGCAGGCCTTGGACGGATGTCAATGTTGTACTGGCTCAAGAAGATAGCCCATTTCACCATGCGGGAGGAGCTGATGGGGCTCCTCATGAGGGCGCCGAGGGGTTGGTGAGTGAGGACCTGAACCGGGTGAGCCTGAAAGTAGTGGCCCAACTTCTTAACAGTCCAGACAATGGCTAACACCGTTTTTTCCACAGGGGAGTACCTGAGCTCGGCCTCCCTTAGGGTCTTGCTAACATAGAAGATGGCATGTTGGATGCCGTCTTCCTCCCGGATGAGCACAGAGCTGATGGCCGCCGGGCTGACCCCAAGGTAGAGGTAGAGGGTCTCCCCTACCATGGGTTTGGAGAGCACAGGAGGTGAAGATAGATATCGTTTGAGCTCGTCGAAAGCCCCCTGGCATTCTGGAGTCCATAGAAAACCAGCCGTCTTCCTCATGATCTGGAAGAAGGGCAGAGACTTCTCCGCCGATTTAGATAGAAAGCGGTTGAGGGCTGCCAGGCGGCCCGTCAACCGTTGGACTTCCTTCACATTGCGTGGGGGTTCCATGTTGATGATGGCCTGGATCTTCTCGGGATTGGCCTCAATACCCCTTCGGCTCACCATGTAGCCCAAGAATTTGC